TGTCTTATGTTTCGTACTACAATCTGTGACCGCACCCTGAGATTTTGTAAACGAAAAATCGAAAAGAACCGGCGTGTAAAAATATGATGACATAATTCCACGATAAAACTGTCACTTGCGTGTTAAACTTTTTGGTTTAAAATTTATATTACAATAATCAAAGTGTTGCCTTGATAAGTAAATAATTTTTAAACCCCAGCAAGTTTGAATTTTACACTCTAAGCGTTTAAAAATGTAGGATTGAAATAATAAGCGTTTAAAAATGTAGGATAAGTAAATAATTTTTAAACCCCAGCAAGTTTGAATTTTACACTCTAAGCGTTTAAAAATGTAGGATTGAAACATTTGTGCTTACTTATTTAAACTAAAGTAGTTTTAAAAGACCATTTTAAGATTACATAACACCAAAACTTAAAATTTCCATTTTTTACAATGTATGTATATGAATCTACATATTTTTCCAGTTTTTATTCCTTTATTTTGATTACAATGATTGCAATTAATTTCTTAAACTCGATAAGAAACATTGTAATTTTGTAATAATGATCATAGACGACCATAAAATAATATGTCGATAAAATTTTGAATACATATCTATACAATACGAATATGTATAAAATTTAGATATTACTTAATATGCATATTATGTGTGCTAAGGTTAATGACGTTTCAACTATAATGTACACTTATATAGCATGCAGCATTTATACACACAGTAACCTCTCGGATGATTACACGTTATTGATAAATGAAGTGAAATTAGAAGAAGAATAAATAATACATATTTATGCTATATAATGTTATACCTACTATATGTATTACTTTTGTGGTACGAAGTACTTATAAATAAGATAATTCAAGCTATTGAAGTGCTACTAAAATATAACAGGCGATGAAAAATTTAATTTAGTGATGGTTGGGGTTTTTAGGTTGCTATTTTGAATTTAAAATTTACATTGAAATTTTGAATTGAAATTTTCATCATTTTACAATTTTCACAAAAGATATTTATACCTTTCATATACATTTTACACCCATTATACGAATAAGGTGTTAAAGCGTTTCGAACAAATATAAAAGAAAATAATATTAGAGGTATACATCTACATATATATAAATATATATATATACATCTATACTAAATTACAAAATAAAGAAAAATGTGTTAATTTATAATTAAAAAAAAAACTATATATGTATATAAGAAGCGTTTCTCAACCTTATTTCAACTCCGAAGTAAAAAATATTTATTTCAAAATTACATTAAATTTTTACCGCTTTATAAGTAATTTGTTATTCAAAAATATTGTAAGTTGGTTGTTTTTTATAAAGTTCTTATAATCTTCTTAAATAAATCGTTGAGTATAACGAAAATATTGTAACATTTTTTTAGATCTGGTACGTGTACAGTAGGTACGTGCATAGGACATAATGTACTACTTATATTTTAAGTTGTTCTAGTGAACGTTCTCGTTTATATTCAAATAGTTTAATATTTAAAGGAAATTTTGTGTTTGACCCATTTTTAATAATATACGGTTCTCATTTTAGTCAAAAAAGATTGGGAAACACTAGTTTTTAACTTATATAAAATAATATTATGACAATTCAACTTGATTCACTTTTGGTCATGATATTTTATATTATGGTAATACATATTGTTCTATGTTAGTTCATTGTATTATGTATAACTATACGTTATATAGTATATGCAATTATAATTAACAAACACATCCATACATGAATAAATGAATGAATGATTGAATGAATGGAAATTTTTTTTTTCGTATTCTTTACAAAGTGAATATAGTTTGTGCAGTATATTAATATTTAAATTTGTTATTTATATTTATGTATAAAGAAGTAAATAATATTACAGAATATGAAATAAATAACTCCTAAAAGCATGCAATTTTATTATTTTTTTTAAGTATAGATTTAGCTGTCGAAAAAAGTGTGATTATCATTTACAATGTAAATCCAATTATTCATCCTGTATATTCATTGATCAAAATAAAACCGTAAAAGGATTGATTGAAACACAATCGATTAGTAACTGAATAAAAGGATAAACAAAAACGGATTTATTTTTATGCATATTATTGTGTTTTTCAAAACTTGAGTTAATAATAGAACAGTTAACTATTTTAGTTATAATATATATTATACATATAGTATATTATACAGTAATAAATATAATACATATGTGCATTTATCATGCACACCATGACACTTTCAATCACCATGAAACTGAAAGTCGACAAATATGTGTTGTATGAAGTTTTGTTGAAAAGCTTTCGGCGAAATTTACATCTTTTATTCCAGGAGATTTTTAGAAATTATGCCACCTGAAATCGTATGTTGGCTATTAACATTAGGATTTTAGTAAAGTTCAAGAAGAAATTTATCATTTCAAGAAGAAAATTCTAACCATGAACAAAATTTTAATACAAAATCATGTATGAAAACGCGACTTATAAGTTCGCCTATGAAAAATAATTTTTTACCATTATAATTTTACTCAATTATTATTTCAAAAAAAAGAATCCTGGAAAGTCTATAGTTGGAAAAGAACATTAACCTTGTCAGCCAAATATTAAATTACGCTTCCGGCAATGTTTTTATAGAGCTATCATAATTGTCGAATTATCGTATTCAGGATAGATTATCAGTTTCGAAAATTATTTCTGATTAAATTCTACCTTTTATTTTTAATATTAAGCGAGAAAAAAAATAATTGATTAATAATTGATTAGAGCTTAACGAAAATTTTAAAGAAGACTATGAAAATACATTCTAAGCATTTCCTTTCAATTTCAAGCAAGCTTATAGTTAAGCTTATAGTTAATATAACTAGAAAAATGTAAACTCGGCTCTTAGTAGAGTTTCACTTTATACTATTCAAATTCCTTGAAAAGTTCACCAGTTATTTTTAGTAACAACCAAAACTCAAATATCAAATTTCAAGAAATTCATATATGAAAAAGATATGGTAAAAAATATAAAATCGGACCTCAGTTTGGTTTCCAAAGCCTGATCTTTCCAAAAAACGTTTTTTGTCGTTTACGAGGTAATATTATTCCAATGACTTGATTAGCACATAAACATTCCACTCACTCATACTCATTCAATTTGTTTTTGCTATTATACATATACATATATAATATTTGTACCGAAATTTGTACCTACTAATAAGCATATAAAGAAAAGTAATGAAAAGCAACTTGTTGCTTTGTAGAAAAAGGAAATTTACTTATATCTGAAATAAAAGTTATTCTACTGTTCAATGTACATAAAGCATATTGAAGAGAAAAGCAACGAAAGAGAAGGCTAAAGTATATAATACCTATATAAGAAATATTGTCATAGCATTAAACAACAACCAGCTGTATAGTTATACGAAAATAAAATAAACATTATACTAGTTTATATGATTAAATTTTGAATTCTTTTCTTTATATACATACTTATATATACAGTGGTATACAAAATATGTAAATTCCTACAAGCCTACAACATAGTATTTGCATTTTCACAAAAGCATAACCATAAAATTATTTACCGAAAATAAGATGCTATTCTTTAAGTGTAAGTTCATATAAATATACTGCTAGTTTATCTGTATTGGATAACATATATATATATACATAAATATTTATAATATAATATATGAACAAGCACTAAATTAAATTGTGTAAAAAGAATAAAAATAGGGAAAATGCAACAAAACTTTTTTTTCATTTCAATATTCTAATAAATAAAATGGGTTTTTAATTAAAAATAAAAAATACAAGAAAAAGTAAATAAGTCGTGGAAAGTCTTTGCTGATATTCGTGTACATAGTTAGAATCGTTAATATACATACAATAATGTATATAAGTATATATTTTCTCTCAAAATCACGAAAAAAATTTTTTAATAGAAACAAAGGATTTTAATTGATGACAATATGTAGGTGGCTGCTATATTTTAATTTTACGGATATTTCTTATATATAATGTGAGTGAGAACACTACACTTGTATAGCATATATGACTGTATATAATATTATGTATACACTTTACTTAAATATATTTATTTTATATGTCTACTTATATATATTTTCTATCTTCAGTGAATACAATATATCTGCGTACATTTGAATAACTAGATATTTCTTATTTTTAATTTATTGAACATAAGGAATTTGTTTTTCTATTATCGATAATATCTATAAAATTCTGAAACTATTTACATTATTTTTTCCAAATAAAAAATAGAAAAAAAAACTAATACTTATATTCTTTAACCATATATTAAAATTAATTTTTCTTCGTAGTTCTTAGTAATTGTAATTGTAAAAAATCAATTCAAGACTACTAACAAATAAATAATTAATTTTTATCAGAGAACATGACTATAGTCTTCTTAATTTGAAAGTTTTTATATAACTTTATGTTTATTTCAATTTCTATAACTATACTTGTTCGAGTTCATGGAAAACGTCTTCATTCGGCACGTATCATTAAAATCGAACATCAGGTTCACTATAAAAAAGTTTGTTATATACGAAAGTTTGCTATATGCTTAAATATTTAATTATACTCCCAAATTTATTCAAAAAGAAAAGACTGTAATAATAAAATATTAAAATTGATTTGTAAACCATATACACGAGTTAACAACAGGCATAAATTTCAATGAAGAATTAAACAAAATTCAAATGTGACCAAAAGCTCTTAAGATTTACTCACCTGTGAACATATAAAGAAAGTGCGAATATAAAAGGTTTGCTTACATTATTACAGATTCTTATAGAAGATCTTAATATCTGTTATTTAAGAATTGAAGAATATTTACTTTTTCTTCTAAAACTTTTATTCACATATGTTTTATTTTATTTTAAATTTCATTAATAAAAGTAGATTTTTTAAGAAAATTTTGCAAAATTTCAATAACTACATGTCTGAATTTTATATGACAATTTACTATAATTCAAATATTTTTTGTTGTATTTTCAGGGTACAATACTTCACATGACAGAAATGATAATAGTCCGCCATCACCCCATTCAACAAATACTTCAGTATCAATGTTACCTCCAACGACGAATCTACCTCAACAACAGCAAACATCAATAGGAAATTCTAGTAATACTGCAAATGATGGTGGGGGTGGTAGTGCTAGTAGTAACAATGGTGGTAATAACAGTGGTAATGGTAATAGCGGAAGTAGTACAAATAGTAATAATAATACAAATTCAAATTTAACGACAAGTGGATCACCAACATCTTCTGTTAATTTAGGGCAAAATAATAACAGTGCCAATATTAATTATATGCAAATGGCAGTTCGCAATTCAACAATGTATCATCATCAATTAAAAGAAGAACCATCAACGGGGAATAATTCTTATCCTGGAATTGGTAATGGTCAACATGATGATATGCCGGTAAGTACTATAATAAATTTAAAATTTTATACTTAATATTATGCTAATTGATTGTTTTTTTACGAATAGTTCGTTAATTTATCACACCTTGCCCAATATGATGATCATGATCAATATCATTCATTATCGGGTGATCATCAAGGGCAAAATGCATATTTAGATAGTAGTCCAGATTTTTATGGTCATGGTGGTGGAGGAGGTTATGGTAGAACAAGATTTCATGATCCATATTCAGATTTTGCAGCGGCATATGATTCATCACCATTTCAAACAGTGCCAGGTAGTACGCCAACAGGTGCCGATCAATGGGGTGCACATCATACAAGTCCACATCATCATCCAGCTGCAGCATACATGACAACAATGGGTTTAGGTAGCTATCCAACACAGGGAGGCGTACCATGTTTTACTGGTTCAGGTCCAATACAATTATGGCAATTTCTATTGGAACTTTTAATGGATAAAACATGTCAAGGTTTTATTTCATGGACTGGTGATGGATGGGAATTTAAATTAACTGATCCAGATGAGGTACATGATTTCTTACATAGAAAATATGTTTTTTTTTTTTAATTTTCAATAAATTGAATTCAATTTAAAACATTATAGGTTGCAAGGAGGTGGGGTATTAGAAAAAATAAACCAAAAATGAATTATGAAAAATTAAGCCGTGGACTGCGATATTATTATGATAAAAATATTATACACAAAACAGCTGGTAAACGATATGTTTATCGTTTTGTATGTGATTTACAAAATTTAATAGGGTAAACATCAATATGATTTTGTGTTTCTACACTTTTTCAAATAAAAATATAAATAAAATTATTTACAGTATTTAATATTTACCCATTTTATTTTTAGATATTCACCAGAAGAATTATGCGCAAAATATGATCTTAAAACTGAGAAAAAGGACGACGAATAATGGATCTCTTATTATAACAAACAGAAATATTTAAAAGATATTAATTTAATTAAAAAAGTTCATTATTGAATTAGGTTTTTTTCTAAAAAGCAAAAAGAAAAATGTGTAAAATTTTGTGCGAATGAACTCTTAACACAAAAAGGAAGTCTTAAAAAAATTCAATAATTATTAATTAATTATAATTTTTGAATTCATTTAGTTTGAATAATGATTCTTATCTCAATGTATATAAATAAGAGCACATACATGTAAATATTATATTTACATAATACATAATATATATTTATGATTTATTATATTATTATTATTATTATATCTGTAATAATTATTGTAGTTAAACAAAATACCAAACATTTGTATTAATTTTTGTTTTTTATTTTTTGAATCAAAATTTTAAGTCAAATTCTAACAAATTAACAAGAACATTTATTTATTTAAGTATAAATAATTATTATTTCCTTAAATATTTTGTAAAACAAAAAATGTAAAAGTTAACAATTTCATGTATGTACCTATACTATGCTATAGTTAGTTTTGCATTATTTAAAAAGGAATCGAAATAAACTCGAAAAGTGATCTAATAAATAATTAATTATATCTATTAATATTTTAATAAAAACTTTTTACAATAATTGTGTATAAAATAAAATATTTTTCAATTGTTTTTATTTAACAGAAATTGGCAAAACTTAAACATTAAATTTTCTTACAAATGCTGATATTATTTACCTACATATATAACCTACATAAAAATTTCAATTTAAAAAATATAATCCTAGAACAAAACTATAAAAAAAAGTTGTATTTAGGTAAAAACTAGAGGAACATTAGAAATAAGAAATCAAAGAATTTGGCATAAATTCTAAAGGCTAAATTCTATAATAATGAGGATTTGGACAGTAAGTCAAGTGTCTGTTAAATAAAAAACATATAGTTTACATTACATTCAACATTTTTTCTTCTATAGTATTTTCGAGTAAGATAAAAATCAAGTGATAATGAATCCATTTCGTCACATTAATTTTATTTTAAAAGTAGACTAAACAAACAACACAAAATCATTTTAAAATCAATACATTTTTTATTATTTTCCTTATAAATAAATATATATATGTATGTAATTTGGTTTTTATTTCATCTGTAAATTCGATTTCAAATTCTAAAAATTGAATCAAAATTAAGAAGCTTCTTATTCTCATTATTGTAGTTTTAATGTGATTCAAGTCGATGCGAATTTTAAATGACTATAGTTTTTTTTGTATGTTATAAAACATTCAATATAAAAATATAAATTTCAAACAAAATTAGTTTTGCCTTCAAAATCAATTTTTATTAAAAAACTAAATATATGTACGTACTATGTACATATCAATGGTGAAGTGCAACGATTTGCTTAGAGATGTGAGTTTTTTTTTTACACAAATACTACGTTCAAATACTTTGTGTGGTATAGAATTCGATGTTGAGCTAGGTTAATTTCAATATTGAAGTAGCCAAAAAAGTCTAAGTACTTTCTTAGAATGTTTATATTATAAAAACTAATATATTGATGAAGCACAAATATACTAAGTACATTAATTGGTATTAACAATTTTAAAACTATTAGTCACTAAGGGCACTTATAATTCTCATCTTTATACAGAAAAAAAATTATATTATATAACATTATGCTAATTAACTGGTTTCTTTTCAAAAATTTTCAAAATTTCAAAACGCTCTTCTATAAAATTTTAAATTTGCTACTTAGCATAGCTTTGCACTTGACCAACTATATATTTGTGTATGTATATATGCACACTCAACACTTAAAAAAAATTTCTTCTAAATTTATATAATATCAAAAGATGTTGATTAGAGTATATTTGATTTAAGTAACATTTTTAATTCACTTTAAACATCAGAAAAGAAAAAATTTATAAAGCATGTTAAAAAATACTCTGACTTAAAAACTGTAATTTCTCTGACTGGATTCAATGAAGTAATACTCGTACAGTTGTAATACTCGTACAGAAATTTTTAAATCAAAAATACTTAACTTAGTTAACCGTAATTGATATTTTAATTTTTATGCTTTGTTAAGATTTTCATAATTATCAAACAGTTTTGTATTAACTATTTAAAAAATTAAAATGTGCAAGTTTTTACATATTACGTACGAGTATTGTACAAATTAATATTAATTTTGCTCACAACATTTATATTCAAATAAAGGTTTTTTATAAAATTATATTTATAAAGTTCAGTACTTTACAGTTTCTCTGTTATAGTTACTATTCCTTATTCACTTGTTGATATATTAATAAAAAAGTTGTAAACAAACTGTGTAGAAACGAGAATTCAGAAAACAGGAATATAAAAATGAAAAAGAATTATATTTTAGCTTTGTTCAAAATTTTCTTCACATACAACATAAGTTTTTGCATTATTTTTGACCTGAATTGACAAATTTTACTTTATAATTTGTTAATGTAATGATTCATTTTTTTTTTTGAGAAATAAATTGAAATAAATTGAGAAATAAAAACAAAATAATAATATTTATCGAAATTTAATTGAAATTTAATAAAATATAAATTCTATACATATATAAATTATAATTATAATAAATATAAGGAAAAAATATTAAAATGATAATTAATTTATTAGCCAAACAGTTTCTTAATTAAATTCTCTATAGTAACTGCTCAAAATCCTTACAAATCCTTACAAATCCTTACAAATACATATACACGTACATATATTATAAACGATGTATTTTTTATATTTAAAATTGAATAAAATTTTCATTTTTATTTTGTATTCATATTGCATATTCTATTCGGCTAGAACATATTGTTAAGTATTTCTTTTTCCAAAAGTTACTCTTTGTAAAATACTTTAATTTAAAAAAAAAATCTTACTCAAGTTAAGAGATTTCATTAAAAAGAAAATTAAATTAAATATTTCATGTGTAGAAAAAAATATTTATTGATTGATCACAAATTAAAAAAGTAAAAAAGGAAATATCTACTCGATTAATTGAGGAATAACGTATAAGTTGAAGGACCATTAATTTTTCTTTTTTTTTTTATTATTTATTGTTTCATTTTCCTTTTTTTAGCTTTACATTATTGAAAACTGCGTTTTTTTTGTTTCTAGTTTTAAAATTTATTTTCTAGAGTTAGATTTTTTTTTTGCATTATATTATAAATAAATAAATTTTAACAATGTTAATTTTACAAAAAAAAAAAAAAAAGTTTTCTTAAGTACTTCGTTTTTAGCTTAATTATGCTTAATTAGGTTTTAAAATTGTAAAAATGTAAAAATATAAAAACTCATTTTACAACACATTGATTAGAGAAATCTGACTTACTTCTACAAGATAGTAATATAAATTTGTAACAATATATTTCAACATAACATTTCCTACTTATATTATATATGTACATTAAGTAGAAAATGTAGAAAAACATTATACATATTATCACATTACTGCAATTTCTGTGCTCTGTAATTTTTCCACAGTATATTTACTTAGAAATGACATTCAATATTTTTATTTCTTCAAAAAGGAACAAAAAATTCTGACTCATATGAATAGTTAGTAAATATTCTCTATTTGTTATTACTATTATTAAATTTATCAAAAAAAATTTAAATATACTATAATTTTATTTCAAAATCATAAAAATGTAAAATAAATATTTTATGAATTGTACTTTGAATAACAGAAAAACAATAAATTTGTTTCTGTATTGTAAAATTTTATAATTATTATAAAAATATTATTTTACATATCGCACATTGAGAATAATATTGTAATACCTCAAAATAGTTACTTTCTTACTTAAAAAACTACCTATTTTATTAATTTTATCTCGATATTTCGAAAACTTTCAATTTTATTAACAATTTTCTAAACCCAGTCAACAATTTTCAATATTAGTACCCAGTCAACAATTTTCAAATCTAATACCGTAAAATTTTTATATTTTTCTTATATTCTAAAATTGCTGTTAAATTAATTTGGCATCATGCTGAAAATAAAATATACAATTTTTTTTAAAAAATAAATGATAATGAAATTAAGAGTTTTGGAATATTATTTAAAAAAAATTTTTTTAAATTAAGATCAAAATGTTGCAGTCTTAACATTTTGATGGTCTTCGATAATTCAGATATGCCCTGAAAGTTCTAAATCAAATCATTAAAATTTCTTCACACATACAAATTTGCAGAAACTAAATATTTTACTATTGCAGATTTATAATATAATAGAATAATTCTTCAATATTTTGTGCAATTGTGCTTTTCTTCTAATCTGTAATACTTTTGCAGCAGTTATAAAAAAAGCTTGAAACTTCAACCTTAAATTAAAATTAAATCTAAAAATTAAGTTTAAACTAAAATATATAATCAAATTTATTGTGGTATTATTCTCAGAGTATAACAAATTATATACTTCTTAATTCATTATTTAACCTTATTCTTTGTATGATGTTATTCAGATCAGTGTACAACTTTAAATCCATTTATTATTTTATAATTAACAAATTTCTTTTTTAAATACCTTTTTAATTGTTCTTGTACACGGATAATATAAAGGTTTTAAAAATCAATGTGTATAACAGTTTTATAATTTCAAATTTCTTAATTGCAATTTGTATATGTTTTTTTAAGTAATAAGATTAAACTAAAACAAAAAAAAAGAAAAAATAAAACAAAATAAAATTAATTATGTTAAGAGAGCTTCCAAGTAAGGTTATTAATTAATAATAGAATAATAAGAAATAAAAGATCTTAATATTTTATTCTTGTTTAATTATATAAATATTTAACTATGTTTTTATTATATTTTTATTTATATAATAAGAAATTTTATTTAACTTTATTTTTAATAAAAAACAATTTTGTATAAAAGAAAAAAATTTAATTTTGAAAAGATTTTTTTTTTCATTAAAAAATATACATACATGTATTATATAAATTAGTTCATGTTTTAACTTTAAACAAAAAAAAAAATAGAAAAGAAATAGAATTAAATATAACCAAGTAAAAAAAATTATTAATATAATTGATAAAAAATATATCTGTACAATATAAATGCAAATAAATGCTCAAATTGTGTAATCGTTGAAAATAATTAACTGCATATTGTTTCACTTCAAGTGGGAATTATGGAAAGATAAATTATCTTTTGACCATCAAATACACATTCGAAAATTGTTTATGGCACTTCATTATTTACATAAAGCTTTTGTTCTGACATTTTTCGCCATGAAGACTCTAAAAGCATAAGCTTATGTTCATAATTGCAGTGAAATATATTGCGCGAAAGTCATTCAGATTTGTTAATGTTGTAGAATACATAAAATGTTACGTAATCAGTTAGAAAAGAAACACATTAAATTTTCTATGCTTTTCTATGCTATCATTAATTTTTTGGTGTCATCTGTAAGAAGAATATAGATGCCATTAAGCGTTGTAGTTTTAAATGGAAAAAAAAAAAATTCGATGTCATAATTTAAAAAAAGGAATGATACAGCTGTTTACCGTTCACTCATTTTTTCTTTGGGAAAAGCAAGTATAGGTCTATCCAAGATAAATTATTGGTAACTTACATATTTCTCTCAACTTTTGTGTTGTCATATTTCTATCTTGAATGCGTTTCATGTAATAATGCATTATTATGTATTATAATGAATGATCTATATTGGACAAAACTAGTTTTTGTCTTTCATACATTCATTTCCTCTAATTCATTTTTTTGGTGACAATAATTTCAGGAGCCAAAAAGAGTCAAAGACAAGTATCGTATACTTACTACATAAGCTTTTTTCCTCATGAAAAAAAAATTATTTTATTAAAATATTCCGGATAATATAATTTGCCAATATAAAACCAAATAGTAATTTAATCTATTCTACATTTTAATTCTTTTCCGAGTTTTATTTTTCTGTAAATGAAATTTTTTTTTAGGAAAATATTACGTAAATAATCTTCTAATATTTAGGAACAATAGCGTTTGCTTTTTCACTAAAGCGGATCTTTGTTTAGCAACGTAAATTCTTCAAAATTCTTCAGATGTACAGATTCTAGAAGAAAATATCTTTTATATTTCTCAAACTTTCAATGCTTTATACATTGTACACAGTCCTGGTAAGTATATAAGGTGACCGCATTAAAAAATATTTTGAACTGCTTCAATCGGGTCAACTTCGATATAATTTGTATGTTTTTCCTCAATTTATTTCCTATTGCAATATTTGAAATTATTTTTTAGTTTGAAAAAATCTATTGAAAAAGAAGGTCCACATATAATATACATATATACATACAGGGTTGTTCGCTTTAGGTGGCAAATAATTTCAAGGATGATTCTTTGATTAATTTCTAGCAAAAACTTATATTGGTGGGTTGTGCAGATATACTCTCTTTCGAGCTACAGCCTGTTATGTTTATATATAACTTTGGAACCATACAACATAGAGTTATCATTGGGAGCTTGCTTATCATTGATTGTTATTTATTTTTAGTCTTTCAATTAATTTAATTTGTGCCATAGCTTTCGAGATACAGCTCGCCAAAGTCAGAATTTTTGGTTTTTTTTTTTTTTGAAATTTTCTTACAGAACTTGAAATTTCTCGAATATTTTTATTATTATTTTTTCCTTTTTTTTTTGCGATGCGCTACAATGAGATCTAAAGTTAACCCATATAACATTTTCCTCTATCTCTCATAGTTTTTCCAGTAAAACGTGTTAAATATGTTCTAAAAACATGTGAAAAATGCATATTTTTTAGAAAGTAAAGTACATATATTGAAGTTTGATGCTTTGCAAAAATATTAGAGATTTTCACAGGTTGTTGTATTAATGCAAAAAAAAGGTTGTTATATTAATGCAAAAAATACTGAACGACCAACGAAACATTTGCGATGCAAAATTGCAAATAAGTGACAATCATACATACATATGTTTTTTATTTTGCACAGTTCCGTAGTATTTGAGAAAATTTATTTGGAAATATTCATAAAAAATATTATTAGAAAAAATTTATTCAAGAAATACTAGAAAATTATTATTATTAGCTATGATCTATTATTGCTATCTTTATAAAATACATATGTCTGCAACTAAACAACGTATAGATACATATACATATAAAAAAAGTTTTCAAGGGTCATTTTGGAAGAATAAAATATTCAAACATATGTATGTCTTATTATTGTCGCAGTAGTGAATAGTTTTGCTCTGATTTCTACATTTTTCCATATGATGAGCCATTTTGAATTTTTGTTTTGATATTATAAAGACATAGCTTCATCTGTTAAATGGTTTAGTCCTCAAAGTTCCAAAAACGACAGTTTTGATTGCATTTAAATGTAGTGAGTTCCATATTCATCGTATATAAAAGAGTGCACAAACAAAAAAATCAGTGTGATAAAATTACTGTAATTAGCCATAAGCTGAATCCCATTACATAATGAATTTTTGAATTTTTTCTAATATTTTTAAAAAACAGAATATTAATACAGAATATGTCTTAGCATTTAATACAGAATATTTCTTAGCATTTTTAATACAGAATATGTCTTACCATTTTTAAAAAAAAAAAAAACAAATTGTCTTTTTCTAGATATCGTTTGACAATAGGCTTTTAATAATTTAATTCTAAATTTAAATAATAAACTTTTTCGAAATTTTAAAACTACCGCTTACAAAGGCAATATTTCTGTACAAAAGTTCAGGAGTGGTAAAAGTTTCATCGGAAATAATTGCGGAGCTTTACCATATTAAACAAAAGCTTCTCGCTTTTATTTGTAAAGTTTTCTTATTTTCAATAAAAAGTATATTTTCTCATTTTCCAGTAATTCAATTTTTATTATAGTGTTATTAGCTTTTAATTTGACCTTCTATGAAAAAATCCTTTATTTTCAACTATCGTAATCTTTAATATTGAAAGAAGCAAGAACGAATAGTTATTATGTAAAAAAAAGATCGACTTTTTTTATACAATTAATAAATAACTTAACTCAACTTAAAATAACTAAATCTCATAACTCAGTACACATACATATGTATATAGTTTATATATATACGAATGAATAGTTTGAATTTGAACTGTCTGTCAATTGATTCACATTTATATTGAAGTGCTTACAAGCTCACTGTATTGTTGATTTTAAATAAAATTCAACATTGTTTATTAAATATTTATATTTAATACCTATATGCAGAATCAGAAACAAGTTAGTGAAAAACAAAAGTATCATAATGTCAAACAAAAATATTTTTTAAATTTTTTTTCTTTAAAACGAAAAAAAGACATTTATGAGAACACAACCTTTTTTATTTTGCCATCACTAGTACCGGCAAAAACAGTATGATCATCAGGTCCATGACACAAAGAATTAATACAACTTCCTATATTCAATTCACCATATAATTTTCCAACATCATTTACATTTGACCAAACTTTTATAGTTCCGTTGTAACTCCCACTAAAAAGCGTATTTTCATTGCCAGACAAAGCGTTAATTATAGTTTCATGAGCGTTCTATATAAATAAATAACATTAAAAAATAAATATTCTTAAAAAAATAAATTTACATCTTACATCAATGTGCCACATTTTTACAAAATCACGATGTGGACAATTATTTAAAACATTAATACCTTTTCCATCACGAGATACAGTTGCCAATAAAGATCGTTTTGCGTTAATATATGCACCAAATAATTTTAAAGGTGATTTTCCTGGTACAACAGCTTTAACTATATATAGTCCTCTTTCAGGTATTATTTCGCTGATACACAAATCATTATCTCGAATAGTATAAATTAATTTATCATCTATAGCTAAGCCCTTAATTTCTTCAACCATTTCAAAATGTTGAGCTCTTTCGAAATTTTCAAAATTAAATAAATTGCCCACACCGTCACCAGCCCATATTGATTCACCATGACAAAATAAAGCTTGAATAGGATTTTCTATACTACTATAAATATCTTGAGATGCTTCAATAGTCAATGGACTGGGTAAACATTTTAAAATTCCATTGTTACCAGCGACATATAAGCGATTGTTAACATCGACACAGAGACTATTTATGTAAATATCTTCTCCAAATATGTTTAAATTACGTTTCAAATTCAAATTTTCATCCCAAATCTAAAAATCGTAATTAAAAATTGTAATTTCTACATTTTATTATGAAATATGATTTGAAAGAAAGTTATTATTTTCATATATTTGGCACTAACCTTAACAAATCCATCTTGGCCACCAGAAAATAGATAGCCGTTAACAAATGCTAAGCAAGTAATGTCACCTTTATGTTTTTCATGATCATTACTGGTTTTTTCCACCTTTCCGGACATTTTAATTTTAAATATTTGCACGAAAGCACGAAACTAAGCACGAAAATTCTATATATATGTATCTATGTAGTTAAACAATTTTTTCAGTTTTGTATCAGGCGATTTCGAAATATAATGTTGATTTCACTTCTAGGTGTTGTAAGTTTTATTTTTAGAGGATTTTTCACTTGAGAATCTTATTGAATACTGAATTGTTTCAAAATCAAATTTTTGCCTTTTATACTTTCTCAAAATTGTATGTTTCGTTTTTAAATCCCAAAAAAAAAAAAAATAATAATTTATAAAAAAATTAAACAATTGTGAACACATGAAATTAAAATATTTTTTTCTGACAAATGTTAATATTCCAATAAACAATACATGCATTATTTGTAGCTATTCCTGTAATTTTTCATACAAGAAGAAACAGAAGAATAGAAAAGAACTAAATTAAAACGTAAATGAAAGATCTAAAATAAAAAGTTCCTGTTGTATACAATATTTATATGAGTAAAAAACAAAATATTCAATTACAGTAAACATACACAGTTTTAATATTAAATAAACATTATATTTTATATGTGTGAACTTGTAGATCTACTTAAATTTTAAATTTTTTAGCTTTTACGTTTACAAATTAAAGAAAAATGTATATAAAGTTTAACCAAAAAAAATGAGCGACATCTGAGTTTATTTCATTTTATGTTGTTATTTTTTTATTTTAATTTTAATTGGAAATTTCAAAAATACATCATTTCAACCAAAAAACATTTACCTAGATGGATTAGTTAAAGTAAGTGCGAATCATCATTTTCAACCAAAAGTCATTTACCGAAACTCAATGTCTTTTTAGCACTCTTCCAAAAATTTTTTGAAAAACTTTGTCCGTCCGTCCCTCCGTGGACATTTTTTAAATTACCAAACCTCTACGCCCTTGAAGGTAGAAACCTGAAATTTAATATGTACATAGATCTTTACTATAAACTTATTTCCGTAGAACAAAATTTTTACCTATCTCACATCCCCTAAAAGTTATACCCCCCCAAAACCCTAAAAATGGCCTTTTTTAACTATTTGTTGCAATGAAATCATAAGCATTTTTCAAATTTTGCAAACGCAGAAAGGCAGTGGGATACTTCTTATATCACGGCATACTATACTATACGAGTACCGTTATCTAAAATCCATTTTTTTCAAATATTTGATGTCGTTTTTCCTTTAGACCAAAGGTTGTAGGAGCCTGAAATTTAAAGCAACTTTTAGGCACTAACAAATAGTTTATTTAGTTGGAAGATAATTTTTTTCCATCTCCCCCCCCCCCCCCCCCCCCCAGTTACCACCTTTTGAAATTTGTAAAATTTGAAATTTTGACGCTTTATATTTCCGAAACCGTAAGGTTTTTCAAATTTCTATAAACGCAAAAAGTTAAAAGTAAATTTCATGACATTAAAAAATATAATTATTTTTCTTAACTCACGCAATTAGCCCTTAAGATCGAGCATTATGTTAAGCCTTGTGTATATTAATTTTTGTTTTATTTGGAAGACTGCGTAAATCTTTCATCCGAAATATATGCAATCCTAGAAATAGTTTCGTATAAGAATGAAAATATTTTTAATAGTGTGGTAGGTATACATAGACTGTATTAGCAGTATTTTCACTTGTTGAAGCGAAAAGTGCTACAATACAAACCATTGGTTTGACCCAACTTTATTTATGTAGAAGGTCGATAAATATAACTTTCGTAAAAACAAGGTAACATTCACAATTAAATTTAAAACGCGAATAATCTAAACAAGAAAGTAAATAGAATTTTTTTAACAAAAAATATTTATTAGTTTCTACAAGTGTTTTTATGTCCCTGACATTTAGCAGATAAATCTGAAAAAACCTTTATATAGTAATGACTTAATTCGTAAAGTAAAAACCAATTTTAATTCTTCTCTATTTGCAAAATTTTAAAAATATTTTTAACGATTTAGGATATTGCAAAAAAAAAGGAATCTTTAACAATTTATTTGCATAAAAAATGGTGTGCTTTACGCAAATCCAAATAAATATGAATAAAATTTATTTTTATAAAAAATGGTGTGTGATACGCAGATCCAGAAAAAATTTATTATTAACTATTGTTATTAAACTTAAACAACGTCTTAATTACGTCTTGCAATAATTTTTAACCGCCTTTATTATCTTTAGGATGGGTCTCGAATAAACATAAAGTTAGACTTTAAAAATGTTTGCAAACACCAAAAAATATCACAGATTCTCATTTACTTTAAAAAGACTCAAAATCTACAAATCTTTGGATAATTCAATTTCTAAAAAAAAGATTAAGTGCATGACACCCATAATTTCTGTAAAATTTATTAAAACTAAGCGTATAAAAAAATTTCAGAGATATAACAGAATTTAAAAAAAACCATTTACGAATTTACTTAATTACCTTAAATAAAATTTATTACAAATCATTGATAAAGCAATATATATTAAGTATAAGTAAATAGAGTACTAATTCAATCGGGTACATTGTATCGTATATAATGTACACACGTACCCCATATAGCACCAAAGATAAGTGCAAGTTAGAAGCCTATCAAAGTTAATATTAATAATGAACATACATATATATGTATACATATATGTTATAAATTTATAAACATACCAAAAGTCAAATAAACAAAAGAAAACGTGTAAAAGTAAATGCACGCTTTAATAAAATTTTAAATATACAGAATTACCCCACGCGTTATTTTTAAACTGCAAGAACAAAATTTGTATATACATATACGATAAAACACCTTAAAATAATAAAAAGAGAATACAAAATATAAAATCTACATACATATTTATGTATGTACATTAAAACAAAAAATTTATTAAAAAAAAAAATATTTATTTTTAAAAATTTTGTATTAAAATTTAAATTTTATATGTGCACATGTATTTAATTAAAAAATGAAATGAAATAAAGAATGAACAATTGAAAAGTTAACGACAAAAATAAATTTTAAAGATTGCTTACCTACAATATTTCTTTTTTTAAGTAAATGTATATAAAAAACAATAAACTTTTTAAAAAAAAATTACATACATATTTCAAAAAGAATCAAATTTTATGGGAACTGTAATTTTTGCAGGATTTTTATTTGCTATTTATAGACTTTTTCCTAGGTAAGTACCATATAGTATAAATATATAAATCTACACATTTTAAATAAGTTATACGCGATATAAACTTCAACATTATTTCAAAAATATTAAATAATTTTATAATAATTATAATATAAGCAATTAATTATAGAATGTAAATTTATTAAATAATATTTAATAAAATAAGCTTAAAAAATTTTAAAAATAATTAAGTTTGTAAAAACTTTAACCCATGTAAAGAACATACATATAATTTTTAAAAGCAGAAATAGTAAATTACAACAATTTACTCTTATATATCAAAAAGTATTTAAATGAACATAAAATTAAATTTTCTTAAGTTTTCAATACTTTTTTGAAGTTTTACAAAACTGAAAGAAGCCCAATTAGACGGCATAAATAAATGTATTCAGGAATGTTCTACATTTTTACAAATAGAATTTGCACCAAATTCTATTCACGACTTTCTTTAATCCATAACAAGAAAAATTTATTAACATTTGCAAAATTTAAAATCAAATTCATAAAGCATAATACATCTTCGATTTAAAAGAACGCCTTTCGCGAAAGAAATTACATATTCCTTATCATCTTATACTTATATGAAAAGGTGATAAAAATCCCAATCAATTTAAAAAGACTAAATTGTTGCAAATCTTTTTGTACTTCATATGCTTAGCAAAATGATTTACAACATTTTTTTTGTCAATTTTGAAAAATAGTATATGCAATACTATGCAATTTTAAAATGCAAAAACAGGCTTACATAAAAAATTTATCAGAAATATACACAGTACTAATATACATACTTTTTATTCTTGAAATAATATTTATTTTAAAAGTATACAATGAAATATGGATAATTAAGTAAATAAGATTAAAAACTTTATTCATGTAAAACTAATAAAGGACAACATATAAAAGCTTTATTCTTTATACTTTAAACTATTCAAATTCAACTTTTCTAATATAACCATCACTTGTTCCAACGAAAACTGTCTGTTCATTTGGACCATGACAAAGAGAATTGATACAACTTCCAACATTTAATTCACCACTTAATTTTCCAATGTCACTAATATCTGACCACATTTTTACGATTCCATCGAAACCACCACTAAAAAGTGTTTTCTCGTTGCCAGAAATTGCATTTATGATCATATCATGAACATTCTACAGAACACATATGTAGGTGAAAAAAATAAAATTATAAAATTATATTTTATTTATAAATTGAAAATAGATTAAAGAATTTTTCACTTACATCTTTGAGCCATACTTTAACAAAATCTCTATGAGGACAATTATTTAAGATACTAAGCCCTCTTCCATCTCGAGTCACTGTTACAATTAAAGATCGCTGCCCATTAACATATGGGCCAATCAATTTCATTGGTGATTTCCCTGGTATAACAGCTTTCACTAAATATAATCCTTTTTCTGGATGAATTTCACTTATGCATAAATCATTATCTCGTATTGTATATATTAATTTCCCTTCAACAGCCAAACTTTTTATTTCTTCAACCATTTCATATTGTTGAATTTTTTTATAATTTTCAAAATGAAGTAAAATACCAAGTCCATCACCAGCCCATACTGATTCACCGTGACAAAATAATATTTGTACAGGATTTTCCGCACATTTGTATATATCTTTGGACTCATCTGAACTCAATGGACTTGGCACAACTTTGACAATACCGTTACTTCCAGCAGCATACAAACGACCATTTACATCCACACATAAAGAGAAAACATATTTATCAGCATCAAAAAGATTTATATTACGTTTCAAGTTTAAATTATCGTCCCAAACCTACATGATTAAAAAAATTTTATTAAAAACCAATACGTCTATTCAAAATAATTTTCTTGTCATATACGAGATACCTTAACACATCCATCTTGACCGCCAGAGAACAAATAGCCGTTGACAAATGCCAAACAAGTGACATCGCTTTTATGTTTTTCTCCGTCTTGAGCAATTTTTTTGATTTGAGCAGGCATCGTTTTGTTATTTTTTTACCTTTTTCTAATTCAATAGGTTTCCTTTTTCGTAGTTCCTTGTCTTATTTAACAAAAATAAGTATTAAAAATCTTATTAATATGAGAATTGTAAATTTCTTTATTTATTGAAAGATTTCAACGCTTCTGGATGTAACAGGTTACTAAATATAATTGCAGAGAATTCTGTTTCTTTTATACTGTTACGGTATATATCAGTAAAAATATTTTAATTAAACATTCAAAACCATACATACAAATTCCAAAGAAAACAACCACATTAATATTGATAAACATATTATGTAAAAATAAAATATACATGTGTATGTTGAAATTAATCTTTGCGTGTAAAGAATTTCACCAATACCTATTTATTCTGTAAAATTTTCAAAGTAGAAAGCTCTCTAAAATTAAACCAAAAGATGCGAAAAAGGAAAATCCATATAATGCAAAATTAACCTTTACTCACGAATATATATAGTAACCTGAGGTCCATTCAATAACATAAAAATTAAAAGAGAATTAACCAAATCGTCAATTACCTGGTTTATTAGGTCAGTCAGATGGTAATTTTTCAAGGAAAAATGTAGCCAAATTTGAAATTCACGTAAGTTCAAAAAGTGCTTATAGTGAAAAGAAGTTAAAAAAATTTGTTCTAACGAAATAAATCTATACGTATTACTAATGTCCACAGACCATATACTCTTTCTTTAAACAAGTTACATATATATTTATTGTGTAGTAAGATACATATCAAAAGTTTTGAAAAACTTTAGCATACACTTTATCAAAAGACGAGCTAAGAGTAAGATAGATTTTTTAGTAGTTTTGAAATTAGACACAGAAACAGTCATGCAACTGAATATTATTAAATTAACAAACAATCCTTTTAAAATTTCTTTGGTAATATGATTGAAATTAACATTAAAGTATATACGCCTCTGACTCTTAAATAAAGAAAAACAAAACATTTGATTTTTTAACTTCAAAGAAAGCTGCCATAATTTAATTTGATAGATAATTGTATAGTTTACTGAATAATTAAAAATTTATAAGCATCAATGAAATTTTTTACTTCTAGGTTACGAGTATCTATATCTGCTCCAAATAAACATATAGATATGTATAAACGAATTCTTTTAATTCCCCTACATGCATACATATATATTCAAAATTTTATGGTTAGCCTTTTATTTTTTAACAATAATAGTTTATGAAATAAGTATGATGCAACTTTGTTAATTAATTTATTACTTTAATCATTCATGTTCCAAATCAATCACAACTATTGTGTAATTATTGTATTCCGTAATGTATACTAATACACAGTCAAGGTGTCCGCAGTGAAATCAATGATTATAGTCGAAGGGGGCGGGGGGAGCGATACCAGATATGCCCGTTTTCGAGCTACTTTTGTAAAAAAAAAGAAAGGTACCGAACTTTCCCTGCATATAAATAAATGCTTATAACTTCGGAACCGTACAACATAGAGTTATCATTAGGGACTTGTTTTATAGGCGATTGATTGTTCTTTATTTTTGATTTTACAATTAATTTGATTTGAACTATAGTTACCGAGATGCAGCTCGCCAAATTTTGAATTTTTGTTTTTTTTTTTTATTTTTTTTACAAAACTCGAGATTTCTCGAAAATTTTTGTTAATTTTTTTTTGTTTTTTTCGATGAGCTACGACAAGAGCTACAAGTTAACCCATATAGAATTTTCCTCTATCTCTCACAGTTTTTCCAATAAAGAACAATGAATCACCTGTAAAACAAGCTCCCAACGATTTAAGTTTCCATTAAGATAATATTATTAGGGTGATAGACACATTACTTATTAATTAAAACAACTACACGTTGTATTAGTAATTCAGAGCTTTGGTATACCTAAGTAAAATTGTTGTGCTATGTATCGTAGATGACAAAGCAGACGTGAAAAAAGAATATTTAATATTTTTTTTCGGAAATTATGTAAGCAAAAACAGCAGAATTATTAAAATTTGGCCAATAGGTGTTTTTGGAAATATATGAGTAATCAAATGTAATCTATATATATATACATACATCCATAGATATTTCTACATACAAATAAGTATGTATCTTAAAATAACTTGAAACTAATAATATTGATAACTATTGTAAATTCGGAACCATTATCTTTTTCTTAAGTCTTGGCTAAAGCAAAATAAATCTCTTAAAACTACTTTAAGAATGCAGTTTACTTTAGAAAAATTATGAAAATACTAGAATGAACTCTCACTAGCTGAACTCTCAAATCTCAGAGATGTATTGCATTGTCTTTTATCGCTGGGCTCTCTATCAAAGACATATATCTATATAGACATATTTATACTATCTCCATCATAGACACGCTTAAGTTGTCAACTTTGAGCGGCACCATAATGTGCTACACATTTTTTTCGAAGTTGTAATCAAGGAGGGCGCGAAAGTATTTGGTTGATTATATTTCAGTCAAATACTGTGAACCGATTAGGAGGTATCTGATCGCCTTTTAGGCGGTTGAAGTCTCTTATATTTCGATCAGAATTCGAACAATCCGATATTGCGGATCTTCTCGCTCTATCGCAATAGAGGACGTTGCTGACTTGAAAAATTTGGGTATAGAAGTTGAGCACATCTGAAATTTCTCTGAAGTGCGAAGGAAACCATGATACACGTTCTACGGGAACGTGGATTTTGATTCACATCTCTCGTGCGTTACTTTCATATATAGGAAACCCAGCACTCGCTTAACCCCTGTAAGTAGTCTAATTTAATTAAATAAATTTTGTTTATACTACTGACTGTAATTCTATACAAAAATATTAATATAGAAAATAATTTATTGAATTATTCTCAATTTAATTTTTCAAATAATTTTCCATTTTATGAAAGTTAATACATTTAATACATAAAAGTTTCATTAAAATATATAACTAATAATATACAACAATAAAAACAATATATGGTTTATTTGTAAATAAACGTTAACCGACTTTTAATATCACTTAAATAAGCAAATACAAATTTGTTAAATATGAATTATTAAAGAGTCAAGTACGGTTCACATTATATTGGAAATTGATAATATTGTAAATATGATATATTTTAACAGCTTTAGGAGAAAGTTTAAAAATATGATTTAGTGTGATAAATAACTTTTTATTTTGTAAAGGTACATGCACACTTTTATTTAATATAAATAACTTTAAGTTTATGATACAATTTTAGGAAAAGGCAACTTTTCTAATATATCCATCACTTGTTGCTGCGTAAATTGTATGATCATTTTCTCCATTACAAATGCTATTTATGCAACTTTCTAAATTTATTTCTCCACCTAATTTACATTCTTTATCTATATTGACCCACATTTTTACCATTTTGTCGTATCCACCAGAAAACAGTGTTTTGTCTGTCCCGCAAATTGAATTTATTATCATACTGTGGCAATTCTACAATTACACATTACGCATAAATATTATAAATATATTTCATTAAAAACAAATTATTATTGAAATACTAATAAAATTTTAACATTGTACATATGCAATTTTACTAACTTCTTTCGTCCAAATTTTTGCAAAACTTTTTCCTTTTTTATTGTCAACTAGTTTTAAACCAACACCTGAAATGATTTTAATTTTCAATAAATATTAAAGTTTTTAAGAATATACATATATTGATATGTATATAGTTAGTTTTTTATTTATTTATTTCTCAGGGCTAGGATTCGGTCTTATCAAGTGCTACTTTCTACATATTATTATCAAAATGCAAATTTATGGTGCTTTTGTATCACAAAAATATAATCTTGTAAAATATAGAGTTTGTTTCTAAAAATCTTATAAATGTATTTAATCAAAAATTGTAAATGTTTAATTCATTAGTCAATAGCTGTAGGTGTATACATAAATACATACTTTTGGGTTGAAATTGCAATATGTATGCACATATTGTGCATATACGCAACAACATGGTAGTTTAATATGTGAAGAAATATAGGACCAAATTTTAAATAGATGCATATTCTATATGCTCAAATATTCTATGAACTGGAAATTGCTATATTTAGAACTTATAGTTTGCTTTTTTTTTATAATAATAAATCATAACAAGCATCATATTTTTTCAATATTAGGAGCATGTGAAAAAATATTACATACAGCGATGCAATTTTAGCCTATAATGCAAACTACATACTTCATTATATCAAGCCAAATAAGTCAGATTTAACGTGCACTTCAATTAACAAGGACTGTGAATTTTTAAAACAATAAGTGGCATGATTCTCTGTCAGACTTATTAGGCAACGGCGCGAATCATTTATTTGAATATAACGTAATTGATATGATCGACTATATCTATTCTCGTTTTAACATTTTTTTAACATAAAACATGATGGTAATAATTTAGAACAACTCACTAGCATTAAAACTAATATTACAATGACTTGACTAGATATAAAATTAACATTAGATATTTATATATGTAAGTAGTCTTTCAAATACAGCATAATAATGGCACAGTTTTTATCTAATATCAGCATGTTTCTCTAAAGAAATTCTGGCAACACTTACCACATCACTTAATATTTATAAAGGAAAAGTAATAATTATTTTTACATATTATATACTTTCCATCTCTTGTACAAAATGATAAAAATTCTCGTTTTCCATCCACAATCGGACCACATAACGTTAGAGGCGATTTTCCATCAATTGTCATTCTTGTGGAATATCTTCCAGATTTGCTACCAGATATGATTTCTGTAACTAATACATCCAAATCACGAACCGTGTATATTAAATTAGATTCAACAGCAAGAGATTTTATTTCTTCAACTAAATTAAATTTTAATAATATACGGTCATTTTCCCATTGTGTAACAACACCAATATCATCTCCGGTATAAAGAAAATCACCATCACAATATAAACATTGAACTGCCTCATCAGATTGCATTAGATTTTGTCCTTCTGTTGTTTCTAAAGGATTTTCTACAAATTTAACCAGACCATCATTACTAGCTGAATATAGTTTCCCTTTATAATTGACAGCTATTGCATATATATAAGCACCAAAATGATGTATGAGATCTTTTTTCAAATTTAAATCTTGATCCCATATCTGCAAAGCAATAAAAAAATTTACACGAAAAAATATAAAAATCTAAAGTTTTCAACTTTGTATAATAATTTATTAACCTTAATAGAGCCATCTGCACCGCCGCTATATATATTTCCATTGTGATAAACGATGCAAATCGCATCACCTTCATGTTTGTCGCTTTCTGAACAACTTTTTACAATTTTCCCGGACATAATATTGGTTTTATATTAAATTAAGTAAAATTCTAAAACACTTACTAATTAAATTTTACTAATTTTTATAATATACTTTCGGATTCAGTAACTCCAATTAAAAAAGGTTCAAAGAGACTGAAAAACATTCTAGAATTTATAACATTGTTTTGCCAAATCTGATATTTTTTTAAAGAAGCATGCAAGTATGTATGTTCATATGTATGTACATCATCAATTTGTATTGTAAGTACAAAAACGAATTTACGTTCGTTTCTAGAGAAAAAAATTAAGAGAATTTAAAATAAAAATAGATTTTAAGAGGCATAGAGGAAAATTATAGAAATTTTAAGTATGTGGATACAAAAACTATACATATATGTATGTGCATATGTATGCGTGTTATACAAAATCAGATTAAAGTCAATTTAAAATTTAACATCGTTAAAGGTACGCAGTTTAAAATTTAATCAAAATTTTAGATTAAAATTTTAATAATTTGAAAAAGGGGTTTTCAACTTACATTGATATCCAACCCATTATGTGTGTACAACATAACCAATCATTCGCTCTCGAATAAAAATGATAATGATAAAACAGTTTGAGACCAAAACTCTTAGATACGCATGTAGATAATAATCGTTAAATTAATACCATCATAATAATTGTTAAATTAAATAGCTAACTCTTATGTATAAAAGTACATACATAATTCAAACTTAGGACCAATAGCGGCTAGTGAAAAAAATAGCCCGAATCCAAAATAGAAAATCATGTGGATGCCTATAAATTTATTTGAAAATTTTTTTCGAATTCAAAACCAAACTTGTAATCTTAAAATTCTTTAAAAATTTATAAAAACGAAACAGTAATGTGCGGCGCTACAGGCGCCCTTAAACTTGTTAACTTGTTCTCGTTTTTAGGATAGATGTGGTTTAATTTCTATTTTAAAAATGACTAGAATTTAAAATTATGCATACATATAAGTATGTATGTAGGTACATAAATATAAGGTCTGCTTGGTATAAAAATTGAAAAAAGAAAAAACTTTAAAAAAGAAAACAATGACGTAACTTGTCGTAAAAAGTAAAAAAATTCTCATTTAAAAAAAATAATAAATAAGACGAAAAACTTGAAGAAACTTTTAAAATTTTTATAAATATGTGATAGACGTCAAATTTCAAAGTATTTCTAATTCATCGATATAAACAAATCCTAAAAGCGGCATCTATATTTATTTTTTTTGAATTAGCATTAATTCAAGTCCCTACCGCTGAATGAAAAAGGCGCCACCTCAAAAAAGTTTATTGTTAAAATAAATTAAAAAATGTGTTAATAGTTATATACAGGGCTGTCGTTTGGCTCCGATTTGAAAATATTTTCGCGGCTCCTCCTTTAGCATTTTGGCTTCGATTTTGTTTTTTCCTCAGTCAGATCCAAAAACAATATTGATGATTATTCTTGAAAAAATTTTTCAGTTGAAAAATATAATTTCTAAATAAAAAAGATTTTTTTTCAATATTTGCAATATTTGCTGGTAACACCTTGACTAACAAAATTATGTACATATACCTTTTTCTACTAATACAAAAGTCGTAACCTATCCTTTTGTAGTCATAGTCATGTCGTAGTCATCAAATAACCAAACTTAAGAAAATTCTTCGACGTCAGCAGATGAAATTTATTTTTATAGAATTTTTTCAATAAACGATAATATTGAAATTTTGATATTAATTGAAGTCGATCGAGTATATTGTTGAAAAATTAAAAAATTTACTCAAAGCTCCTTCAGTTTAATGCATTGCAGTGCGGCTGGTGAAAAGGTATCTTCTTCTGTTAATTTGACAACTAAATTGAAAAACTCCTTTTGTGTTGGAAATGGTAAGCATTTAAATTCAAAACAATTATTTAAAAATATTGATGCGAAAAGCTAGGAATCAAGTTTAAACTTACAGGAAAAAAATTCAAAGCACACATTTTTTTAATTGAAGAGTTCTTTTTAATATTTTAAGGCATTTTCCAACGAACTAGGAATACTAAAGGAAGGAGCATCTTGAAAAAACAATGAAACCAAATTTTGTCTAGTTGTCTCTTTCTTTGCTCCGAGCATTTTCAAATTCGTAACAGGAGCGTATTTATTTTATTTTATAATTTGCTTCTGCTATCAAATATGTGTAATTCGTAAGAAGGGTAACTTAAAATTTTTTAAGTAAAAACTAAAAAATATTTCAAAATATTGTTTCATTTAAAATATTTGCAAAAAAATTCAAATTTAAACAAAACTCATTATTTTTTTTCCTTTTTGAATTAATTTATTTTTGGAATTATAAAATTATAAATTTTGGTAAAATATTTGAAATGCAAACTTCTTTATTAATATTTCCGATCCAATTTCTATTCATTTCATTACTTCAAGGAAAACTGTAATTATGCAAAAAAAGACCAACTTAAAATATCGTACGTATGCTATATTTTATCAAACATAAACTTGCTATATTTTATCAAACATAAATTTTTGCTTAGAAAAAAAATCCGGTCCTGGTAAAATTATGTCATTTAAAGTAATTTTGATTTAAAACAAAACAAAAACAGATGTTTTCTTCGCAAAACTAAAAACTTAATAAAATCACAAATTATGAATTAATCAAAGCACGGTTGCATATATATTTCTTTTAATTGTTGAAATGAATGCATATGGTGTAATAAAATTATTTGTTTTTGCAAATGGGAATAATAATTTAGAACTATACACCTTTTTTTTCAACAGATTTTTTCCTTTTTCGCACTTGTTATATTTTTTTATAACTTTTTATCAAATAGTATTCCTTTTTTAACGCTTATTATTAAATATTTTATCATTTTTTATTTACAAACTGCACTTATTTTATAACCGAAATAACAAAATCTTCTTACTTTTTATATAGCGGCGGGTAATTTTTTAAGAAAAAAAAAAAGCAACAATATTTGGAATTTAATGTCGATTTCAGTTTGACAATTCTCGGAGCAAGGAAAGAGACTTACCTGAAGCTTTTGGCTTCACTATGTTTCTTTTTCCAAAATACAATTTTTTAGTGAATGTAAGCGAGATAAAAACAAAGATGCTCCTTTCTTTAGTATTTCTAATTCGTTAGTATTTTCTAATCGTCATAACAAGAGCCTAAAGTTAAAAAAATGTATAAACGTATATGAAATTTTACGTAAAAAATATTATTTTAAGTGTTTATTGTGATATTTTTTAATTCGAATTTATTTATTAAAGTGTTTATAATTTTTGGTTTTGTTTCTGATTTTTTTTTTGTATTTGTGCGATAAATTTTTTTTTATGAAATATAGGAATTGGTTCCACTTTTTTGAAAACGGCTCCCTTTTTGGAATATTTTTGCCCCCCATCCAAAAAAACAAGCGACAGCCCTATATATATATAATATTGTCTATGATGATATATATTTGATTTGTAAACATATCCAATCAAATTAAATCGTATCAGAAATATAGAAGCTTGTCCTAATTGTCATCCAATGTTTTGAAAGTTGAAACAATTAAAAATGACGAGTACAAAAATTTTCTATGTGTCGTAAGTGTGATCAGCTGATTCTTATTATTTTTTTAAATACTCGTACATTAATAAAAACAATAACTGAAGGTGCAGAAAATTTGACCAGATCAAATTTGATATTGATTTGTAAACACTGATTCGTTTAGTTGTTTAATTTAGTTGTCCAATTTTGCTTGATTTGTAAACGTTACCTAACCTAAATAAATAAATAAATAAATTTTATTTACATCACTTACACATCAGAGTATCAAACTAAATTTATGAAAAAATCTTATGAGTATTTATACATCAGATTCTATTTATACTTTCACTTCAAACTTTTGGCGGCAATGTTTTTAATATTTGTAAAGATAATTAGATAATGAATATGATGAAAATCTTCATTTGATGTGTAAGAGTAACCTTACAAAAATATTTAAAAAATGTATGTGTCAACACTGAATTTGTTTATATTTAGTTGTCAAAAAACCTTTAAGTATCTACTGTAGTTTGTATGTAACAAAACGTGATATTAATACCAAGTAAACTTGTTACATACAATGCATCTAAAAGTCATTCCGTTCCACATAAATATAGTTTGCTTCACTTTTCACTGTCATTCGTATTTCATAACATCAAGCACTTGGTTTTTCCATGTCAAAATTATATGTTTTGCAGGTAATAATGGCAGCTATGATAGAAGCTTGTTGTTATTTGTAAAAAACTGAAAATTATGCGATTTTACGTTTTTCTTTATTTGTTTTGCTCTGTATTACTTATTTTAAAACATGTTATCATTATGGAAGACAATAAATTAATAAAATTTATTTATTTTAAAATTAATTTTAAATTTTTGGCTTTAATGCCCTAAATACAATGAGACCGCACTTAAAAACTGCAAAAATGTTAGCTTCAGCACTTTATAAATAAAATAAGACTGCAGCAACAACATATTGTATGTTTAATATATGTACATATTTCATACAAATTCCAAATTATACACACTAAACTAAAAAAATATTTGTGAATGTTGTTCGCATGTTTATATATATGTACATTTAAAACGTTTTACTGGAAAAACTGAGAGATGAGGAAAATGTTATATGGGTTAACTTTCAGCTCTTTTCGTAGCGCATCGAAAAAAAAAATAAAAAGCATTTACCTTTTTTTTTTAACAGACGAAGCTCGAAAATAAGTATATCTGAATCCATACTATGTGAACATAAATTTAAAAATAATAAAATATTTTTTTAAAATACTGCTTCAAATTTTTCGCGGTTCAAACATTTTGCTTTTCAAAGTTTATCTGTTTATAGACTAAGTACACAAATATTTTAAAAATATTTAACATCAATGATAAATGAACACAAATCTATACTATAGAATTCTTATACGTTTTATAAAAATGAAATCTTATAAGGTGCTATAATACTCTTTACTGATGACTCATAAACGTACAGGTAGACGCAAAAATAATTTCTTAATGGTAACTACTTATTTCTTCTATTTGCTAAATAGGAAATACTCTCATCCGTTTAAATCTGGTATGTCTTATGCATAATATCATACGTATTTCCAAGAAAAATTTGCCCTGATGTAACTTTAATCAATGAAATTTAAAAATTCAAAGAGTTTATTACACTAACTTGTTGATAAAAATTATAGTCTTTTTAATGCGACTTATATCAGATCACACACAGTGACTTTATTCCGTTATTCCTTTTATTTAACTTTAAAGTTTTCAAAATGTATTAGCAGGTGCATTTGTCTTGCTCTCAAAATATCACAGAATTATTACAGTGTGAGCTATCGCAGACAGTAAGTTTAAATTTCATAAGAATAGTAGCATCTGAGTATGTAAAAATTAGACTTTATCATGAAGGAAAACTTTTAACATTTAAGAAAAAATATTCGAAACCATCTAACAAAGACTATTTTATTTTCCGGTTTAAAATTTAATGTACATAATACACATAAATAATAATATACTAATTAAACATAATTTTGAAGAAATAATTATGTATGTCCAAAATAAAAATAATGGGTGTCTCAAAATTCACGCAAGATTTGAATTTTACGCCATTTGTGCGGTAAAGTATTGCTAACCAATAAAAAAAAATCTGATGCGATCAGCATATAACCGACCGCAATGTGTATTGTTTAGTTAAGTGAAAGTGTTACAGAATATTATAAAAATGTCTGTTAAATACTTCTTTCCAATTTTTAGGACATTAGTAAGCTAGTTAACATAGCTAGAAACTCTACTAAGAGCCAAATGTAAATTTGATTTAGCCAGTTAGTTTCGGTAACAACCAGAACTCAAATATCAAATTTCAAGAAATTTCATCAATTCGTTCCGTAGATATGGTGAAAAATGTAAAATCGACCCGCAGATCAGTTTTCGAGCCCTGATCTTTCCAAAAAATTTATATGTTCATTATTTTAATACGAAGAATTTAAATGTTAAATTTCAATGAAATCGTTTGGTTATTTCTCTTTATATACGTAAAAATGTACATTTGGCTCGTAGTAAACGTCCAGTTGCTGACACCTGATTTCTTCCAAAAGTAAGGAGGTTTAGCGGACGGTCGAGCTGAGCTTATGTATTATTTCAAGTAAATCGGTTGAATATTTTCTTCAAAATGTTCCAAAAAGTAAAACAGGCCCGCTAAAAAGTGCAGTTCTCGATATGCAAAATTTGTTGCCATCACATAACCTACCTATTGTATACACAATACGGTCGGTAAAAATACAGTGTGACAGCTGAGTTCAGAGTTAATGAAAATGTTCTTGAGCAATATTTTGTAAATAATCAGCCCTAACATAAATTCCCCTCGCAGATTTCTCCGAATTACGAACTTCGTAAATTCTTCGTAGCGACGAAGACTTGTAAATGATCACAAATTTCTTTCGTAGAAATTATGAATCAGCAATAGTTATTTGAATACAAAACTTTCATAAAAAGGGTATTTTTTACAAACTGCGATTTGCAGTTTTATATTTCAATCAATTTTTTACATGAAAAATTTTTTCTAAATATGAATTCATTTCGTTTCATGGCAACTGTTCTAACTCAGATTCAAACAAAAAAATTTAAAACTTGAAAATTTATAACAACTACTCTCTTTAAATTGCTTGTTTGTGTATTTCTTTCGTAGATTATTCTTATTACGAACGTAATTTATGATTACTCTATTACGAATATTCGAAATAGAATTTTAATAATTCGGAATTGAGAATATGAAATTTGTAATTTTCCGAATTCGGAGCTACAAACGAAATTCATGATAGGGTTGAATGAAATTTTTCGAACCATTTTTAGCGATGAGGCTCATTTTCATCTTGATGGCTTTGTTAATGGACAAAATTGTCGCATTTGGAATCCACATGAAATGCATCCACAACGTGTCACTGTTTGGTAAGGATTCTGGGTTGAAGGCATCGTCGGACCAGTCTTCAATAACGGTTAATGGTGCTCGCTATAGCGACATGATAATCCAGTTTTTTGTGTTAAAATTACAAGATATGGATGTGGACGGCATGTGGTTTCAATAAGACGGTGCCACATGTCGAGAAGCAATTCAATTATTGTATGGGTCATTTCCTGGTCGTGTGATTTTCCGTTTTGGTGATTAGAATTGACCACCTAGATCATGCGATTCAACGCGGTTGGATTTTTTCTTTGGAATTTTTTGAAGTCTAGAAAGTCTGTATCAACGAAATTCAGCATTTATGCAAAATAATCATGAAAAAAAAATAAGAACAAAAAAGCAACATTTTTTATGTTGGCTTCAAAAGGTATTATTTGCCAAATATACATGCATTATTAGATTCATGATTTTCAACACATCTTCTTTCTCTCCCCCAACAATTTGGACCAAATACACACTCAGTGTTTTTTTTAAACGCCACTTCTATTATTAGTAATACGAGTATACTGTATGCATTAATTAATTGTAGTGCTACAGTTGTTATTTATTATTCTACTATATTATCAAAAAAGCGAAATTCTGCTGAACTAAAAAGCAGCACACCTACCGTCAAAACAAAATTGCCATTGAATCCGAGTTAATACACAACCACAACCACTACTTGCATGTTTACGTAAGCACTTTCCTTGGTTAGATTAATTTCCTAGTATTATGCAATACATATGAGCGATTCAGCCATTGCCAAACTAAAAGTTGCTTTTCTGCCGTAAGTGTATAAAATAATTTAAAGAAGAGACAAAAAGAAAATTAATTGCAAACACAAAACAAATAAATTATTTGTAGTTTTCTTTGACAAACAATAAGAAACTTTCAAAATGCTGTCCATCCACTATTCAACTTGATTCTTGAACCCGTTGAAAAACACGTCGATCAACAATATTTCACACTTTAACATTATATCAATTTTTTCAAAACTAGAAATTCCTAGTTTTTCAAAACCAGAACTTTGTACATCTCACTCGTAGAATTCTACGAATTTTAAACTAAGTTACGCACGTAGATTTTTGAGTAATTATGAATCTCACTAGCAAGAATTATGAATCTGTAATGGCAAAATTACTTTTCGGAGTGTGAAAATAAAAAACGATATTTTATTACAGATTACAAGTGTCACTATTTAAATTCTTCTAATTTTATAGCAGACATTTAAAAAAATTGTAGACAATTCAAAAACAATAGACAGTCAAAAAAAAATTTAATTAAAAGGAACTCGTTTTCCTTCGAAATTTTGATGCAATATGCTCATGTAAATAAAATATATTCTACTTGCATTTTCCTCATATAAAAAAAATTTAACAAATAACACAAACTTAAAAAAATTAACCGACCACTCTTGAATACTGACTTTCTACGTTTGAAAATTCCATTAGTAGAATATTGCCATTTATTTTCATTACTAGTGCGATTAATAAATACTCTATTACGCATTTCGGAATACAATTCTACAACTACAGAATTCACAATATAAAATTCGTAACTGCTCCGAATTTCAGTGCTACACGACTGAGATTTACAATAAGGGTGTTAGTGTTATACAACATGCAAAATTATGCGCACAAAAATTAATTTTTTTTTATTATTTTCTTCTACCGAGTTTCAACCAATAAATCGTTGATCAACGTGTTAAGGAAACAAGTAAATAGTGGAATAGCAGTGTGAGATATACATTATGTTATATATTTTTTATTCAAGACGTCTTTCTGTAGCAAAATAAAACATTAGAGGAACGTTATTTATTTTTCATGAAATAAAAAAAATGTAATTACATATTCTTTCAAATTGAAGGAACTAAAATTATCTGACTGATTGAATATTTTTTTAAGTCACTAGTTAACCTGATTCATCATAACCTGATTTCGACCCTCGCCATGCTCAAAAATTGACATTTAAGATATAAGCCCCCTTTTTTCCAGAAATTCCAGGATGGCTTCCTAAAATTTTCAATGTTTACTGTGAAATTCTGGTAATTTTTTTCCTTAGCTTCTTTTCCAATTTCTCTTAATTTATTTATGTTCCTTTGAAAATTTCTAAGAAATTTCACTGCAACTTATGCTTTTCCGTCAATGAAAAAATTACAGTGCAGTGATTTACAGCTATTCCCGCTGATTTTTTATTAAGATTTCTCGATGTATGCATGTATAAATTCATACATCATTCCTCACTCTAGTACTTTAAGTAAGAGGAGATGAATACAAATCTCTGTAATTATCATTTATATTTTCAAAACGCTTCCATTGCTAGCTATACTTTCAATAAAAAAAAAACTTGACGTTTACACTTACACGAAGTTCACAAAACCTTGATAATCGGTTTTCTATCTGCATTTCATCTTAAACTCCACTTTTAGCCGCTTCGTAGGATTTTTTTATCGAGAACTTTTTTTAAATTTAGCAAATTTTATAAATATTGAGCTAAATTATGGTCAAATTTAGTACATTTTCGCTAATAATTATTTTATTATGTGGCTTGGTGAAGAGTGCTGGTCCAAACCGCCCTAGAGGAGTTTCCATATCGCGTATGTATTTTGAATTTAAATTAAACAGAAGACTAAGTACCCATTTTAGGTGCTCCATTGTACCCCGAAGGTGATACATTTTCATGCTTAGATGGTAAAAAAACTATTAAATTTAGTCAAGTAAATAAACTATTAACTTAAATTACACATGATTATAATAACATAGTTTCTTTAGGTAAATGATGATTTCTGTGATTGTGAAGATTCCAGTGATGAGCCTGGAACTTCGGCTTGTTCCAATGGTTTGTTTTATTGTACAAATGCAGGCCATAGATCAAAATACATTCCTAGTTCGCGTGTAAATGATGGAATTTGTGATTGTTGTGACGGCAGCGACGAATATGATTCGGAAGTAAATTGTGAATCAAATTGCTTAGAATTAGGAAGAGCTGAGAGACAGAGAGAAAGATCCCGACAGGAATTACTAAAGAGGGGTGCACAAATAAAGGCTGATTTAATTTTAAAAGGTAAAACACTAAAAACAGAAAAAAGCAATCTGCTGTTAGAACTCCAACAGCGCAAAAATGAAGCAGAAGCTATTCGCAATGAAAAAGAAAGCATGAAAAAAGAAGCTGAAAGTTTAGAAAACGAAGCTCTAGAAATTTATAAAGAATTACAAGAAGTTGAAAAAAGAGAAAAGCAAGAAAAAGAAGCTCTTGAAAATAAAAGGGAAGCTGAAGAAACTTTTGAAAAATTCGATTCTAATAAAGATTCCTTTATTGAAGTTATTGAAATTCAAACAAGAATAGCATTTGATCAAAATCGAGATGGCGTTGTTGCGGTTGAAGAAGCAAAATATTTTCTGGATGAGCATGATAAGGTGGACCGAGAAAAATTTATTACTACTTGTTGGTCAAGAATCAAGCCCTATTTAATGTTGGATTCTGGCTTTTTTAAACCACCAAAAGAAAATGATAATGCCGAAGTATCTGAGCAAAATGAAATTAAAACTCAATCAAAAGAAGGTGCCAATATTGTTAATACTCAGACAGACGATGAAGATGTAAATGAATTTAACGATGAAAAGGAGGAAGCGGAATTATTAAATGAGGAAGATGAATATAATGAAGATGAACCGGAAGAAATTGAAGAAGAAAATGAAGGAGAAGTAGAAGAAACGAAACCAGAACCTGAATATGATCCTGAAACACAAAAATTAATCGATAATGCTAACGCTGCGCGAACTGAATTTCATGATGCTGAGCATAATGTTAGAAAAATTGATAACGAAATTAAGGATATTCAAGAAAGTTTGAACAAGGATTACGGTGTAAATTATGAATTTGCTACCTTAAATGGAGAATGCTTCGATTTTGAAGATCGAGAATATGTTTACAAATTGTGTCCTTTTGATAAAACGTCGCAGCAACCTAAAAGTGGCGGCAGCGAAACAAGGTATGCACTTCAAAAAAAAAAAAATTGTATTATAATAAATAATAGATACTTCTAAATAGATTGGGAACATGGACAAATTGGGACGGCAAAGAAAATAAATACAGTCATATGCTTTATAGCAATGGCGCTTCTTGTTGGAATGGCCCTCAAAGATCCGCAATAGTTGAGTTAGAATGTGGCTTAGAAAACCGTATTACATCCGTTACTGAACCAAATCGATGCGAATATAAGTTTAATTTTGAAACACCTGCTGCATGTAGTTTCCAAGAAGAATTAAGTGAAGAAAATATGGAAGAATTACACGATGAGCTTTAAGATTGTTACATTTTTCTTTGGAAGATAATTTAAAAAAAATGAAGTTTGTATTTAAAATATGTATGTCAAGTAATTGTGCATCATTCTAATTAGAGATAATTAGAAATTAGTTTTTTTTCATATAGTTTAAAGAACGATTTTATAAAAGCTGAAAATCATTCCGGATTAAGATTCACGTTTAAATTATTATATATTAAAAAAAATGTGTTCTCGTTCTAGATGAAAATTTGTAAAACTAAATTTTTTTCAAAAATATTCAGTTCTTTTATTTCCCTGTAACAGGTGCTAGATTCTACATTATTAATTTTTAGTCCAGTTATACTAATATTTCTATTTCTTCAAAAATTTTAAATATTTCTTAGAATCGAAAGTATTCTCCATTTCTGCCTCGATGATAACTTTCTTTTTAGCTTTCCTAGCTTCTATTCTAGCTTTCCTTTCACTTTCGGACAAAGTGTTTATATTCAATGGGAGCTAATTAGAATAAAAACAATATATTTTTTTTATCGCCCGTTGGAGTTTAATGGATTTGTTACAAGTTTACCTTTATAATTTTTCGGGGTTCGGAATACCTTATATTTATTGAAGATCCATCTGAATTTACGATTACTACTGGGTACTGTCTGCAATATAGAGGTCGTTTAATTTTTGTAATTGCAGCTGTAGCCGAAGATATTGTTCTAAAATTTTGAAAAGATATATTTGTTGCTTTTACTAAGCATTTTAAAAACATTTTTATAATTTAAATCAAAATCTCGGTCTTAGTAAGAAAATAGTAAAAGATGAAATTTTAACATTTAGGAAAACAGATGGTAAATCATATGGTGTAAAAGAAAAAATGTAGGAATAACTCAACAGTGATGGCACTTTTCGCATATCGAAAACAGTATGAAAATTATATATATATATGCGGTTGTAGCGAACACAATGAAATATCAGAATTATTAAAAATTCACAACGGTAACGTTACTCGAAATACCAGAATTAGCTTCCAAATTCATGTAAACGTCATTTATTCTGGATTATTTATTTATAAGTATATACATACCCTTTTTCTTTGCTCAATAAAGCTTCAATGCGTAATAATATACTTACCATTCATACCTGTTACGTATAATTTATAATTAACATACTCAAAAAATGTAGTTTTGATTTTTTTATTGTTTTTTTTTTCATATATATTTGTTTTCTTTTTTATATTTTTAATGAAAGAATAAAAGAAATTAAAATTAGAAGCATTTTTATTGACAGAGAAAACTTTACATCAAATGTACATACATATCACAATACGAAAGAAAAAACTGTATACATACTTTACATATGATGTTAACTCTTTATCATATGTATGCCATTTTTTTCTCTTACTTTTTCTTGTTTTATTTGGTTTATTTTTTTTACTAAATTTTTTAATTTAATAACAAGAAAGAGGAAGAAATGAAAGAAATTGGAAACAATATAAAAAAGAGTATATGAAGCAACCCCACTATATAATTCGATTTTCATGAAACTACTTTCGTATTCAGAAAAATGGTAAGGTAGTAAAAATCAATCTGTGTGACAAGATTTTTTCATTCGTACAAATACACTCAGACTTCGGTTTACGATGATTTTTAACGACTTACGATTTTTTTTGTTTATTCCTAAAATGTTCTGTTTAACGTCTTTTTCTTGATTTACGTCCATTAATTTTTTAATTTTTTTCTTATATCGATAAATTATGAAGTTTTTATGAATTATTATGAAATAAATTTTTTTCATGATAGGAGAGGGCAAATGTAAGTTTTTGAATAAATAAAATGCTGCTGACAATTTTAATGTGAATATAATACATAATTTAAATACATCATGTTCTATAATATGTAATTGAATTTTTCTTTTTTAAATATTTTAATATTGTGTCTTTACGTTTCGCGGCCGCCAATTTTTGAGCGCATCTAGCATGTAAATCAGGACCAAAGTATATCTATTAATAAGTAATTCGACTCGTTCCATTCCGTTAGTTTTCATTTGCATCTTGCTTCCAAATTCTTAAAATATTCCATTTTTTTTTAGAAATAGATGGTAATAAGAGTTGTGTAGGCAAGAAAGAAACAAAATATTGTAAACAAACGAGTGTATCAAAAACATTAAACTGAAATAAAATTAAATTAAGTTAGGTAAAAATTTTGTTATTTTTATTTTGATAATAACATAATTTATTTGTCATTTTATTAAAGTTAGGTAAAAAATTCCAATTTTAATATTTTTTCCTATACTTTATATAGGGAAAAATAAATAACTCCCGCTTTTAAAAATATATTATAAAAAACATCTATTGCGTACTCTTTCCCTCTCCCAAAAATTCTTATGTGTATAAAAATGAAAATAAGAAGGTATACTGCTTAACTCTTTTAACTAAGGGAATTTTTTGTATACAAATATTGGTGAGTGATTGCATTAGTGTGATGTAAACGAAGAGTCGAACTACTTGTTTATATATACACTTTGATGAGGATCTAGTGAACGAAGCGTTTTGCTTGTGTTGGTTGTTTACTTGTTTGAACGTTTCTTTACTTTTTGTATTTGTTCCGTCATGACGTCACAGTGCATTTTTTTTTCCTAAAAAGAAAACAACAAAAAAAAACCACAAAGAGACACTACTTGATTAAAAAAACATTTTTTGCTACTTATCTAATTTTGTTGTAATCCAGTGTAATCCACTCAGCGGCTTTTGTTTCTTCACCTAAAAATTGAATCTATTCGATTTAGCATGTAATTTTATCTACAATTTAATTTACGATCATTTTTGCACAAACATTATATATCAATGCTGCCAACTGTCAGTTATAGTCATAGTTTATGTAGAGTTATAGTCAGCTATTGATCAAAATGTAATGGAGTAGGAAAAAAAATAGAAGGTGATTGAAATGGAGAACGGAAGGGGAAAATAGCATAAAATAGAAAAGAAGAAACGTAGAATTTTACAACAACAATTTGTATTGCGATGTACGTAAGAATGATACATTGCATTACAGGTTCGTTGAAATAATATATCATATTGTGATCTATGTAATTGTAAAAGAAAAGAAGAAAAACGTTAACAACCGAAAAGTGGGACTGGAAACAATTTCACCGTTACTCAACCGCTTATTCCAGAAACTATAAAAGGAACAGAATCATCCAGAAGAAGAACTACTAAAAACATGATCGCTAACCGCAACACATATCGAATTTCGAATTATAAATATTTGTTAAACATAAGATAATTTTCTTAGATTGTATAATTTGGACAGAAAAAATTTTTGTTAAACATAAGATAATTTTCTTGGATTATTTCAACCTTTTATATATAACATTGTATAAATTTGAATTGTGAAGTTTTTGAAGAAAAAAAAAATTGAAAAGAAGGGAAATATAATATAGATATATAAAGATGATTTAGTAATTTTAAAAAAAAAAAATGTACATAATTTTTTTTTGAATTTGATGCTTTCTGCAATAAACTGTGATAATTAAAAAAAAAAACTTATCTTTCATTTTAAAATTAAAGGTGTTAGCAATTATTCGCCAACAGTATTACAGTAACTTTATTTTTGAAAGAGGTCGGATCTTGGAAGGTGCGCATTAATGCTGTGAGAGTTGTTTTTTCAATGGAAACAGTACATTTTGCTTTTATTGCGCACGGACCAGGTGTAGGATATGCCCTTCATCTAATGAGCCATAAATTTCTTCGAATGTAGTTGTGATAGCTAATTCTGTTCCACTATTTTCTAAGAAATTATATTGATTCGGGTCTTTGTGTTTTTAATGAAGTCTCTGATTCTCTTATTTACATTTTCAAAAATTTTTGAGAAACTTCTCAAATGCAATCTAAACTTGAGGTCATACTTTTATTAAAATTCAAAATTATTTTTGTATTTCATTTTCCGTAGCTGGATTAAGAAATAATGTTTTATTATCGTATTGCGAAGAATAATGCTATATCTATCAGGCTATCAAGCTAAGAGAGCAAATCAAAAATAAATTCAAAATTTATATGGAGTTTAAATGGAAGGTGTCGGAATTTATTTGTGTGAAGGAAATTGATCAATATTTAATTCTACATATTTTTTGATATTTAAAATTTAAATTTCAAAAAGATCAGTTGGTAAATTCCATCTGAAAAATGCATTTCAAAAAAAATTGCAATTTTTGACGCAGATAACCTTTCTTGTCTTCGAAGTGGAAGGGTACTGAATTAAATAGTAAAATTTTTTAATAAGAAATAGAATTTGAAAATAAATTGAAGAAAAAAAGCAAAAAAATTATAATCATAATCTAGATGACTTTTGAAACTACTGTTAATAAAATGAGATTCATAAAGAATACTCAAAAATTTCACAAAAAAAATAAAAAAATATTTCAATCGGCATACTTCGAAAATATAAAATATTAAGACTTGGTTTTGTAGTTTTTTCCGATTCAAGATTTCGGAAAATATTTTGAGTTTGGAGGCCTGATAGTTATATATGGCATTAGCGGAGAATATTAATTGGGACTGAAAGTGCTTTTTTTTTAACATTTTTAATTTTATAATTTCATAAAAGATTATTTTTCCGACTTTTTTAATAACATTCAAGGAATGACTTCTTCAGTTTTATCAGTATTATTGATTGTGTTACATACATATGTACATACATATTTAAAACTTTCCACAATTTTCTTGAATCAATATCATAATTTTCCTGAATATTTTTCCAGATATAGCTTTTTTTCTTCATTTTTAAATTCTATGTCTGTATCTAATTTTTGTCATTGTTTTGGGGTCTTTTTTATACTTATGAAATTTTTTCTATCTTTTAATTTAGCATTAAAAGCGACTATGTGCAAGCCATGTGCTCCGAAAAAAAGTGAAACAAGAAAAAAAACACTAAAAATTAATGAAATGAATGTCCATATTCTAATTAGCAAAATCCTGCCTTTAAAATAGAATGTAATATCAAGTAGATCATCATGTCAAAACAACTATCAAGTTCCATTCGAATGCGAACTTCACCTAGTTTTGCAAAATTTTAAACGCATTTTCCGGCTAAACTAGAAGAGATAGAACGATTCTAAGTGTTTTTTGTGGTCAATGGTTAACGAACTTGTTAAAATATGAACGAACAAATATGCCATATCTGATTATGGGACAGACAATAACTTTAATTACGTTGGTTTTGTTTTACATCAAATTATAAATATAAAATATCAAAATTCTACACTGAGTAAGAATATATATACTTACATTTCTATATCACAGAATTTAATATTATTAACACAGATTCTTTAATGTTAGAAAAGGCGTAGCGAATTTGTAATATGATTCGAACATTCGTTTTCACGTAAATAATAGTTGACGTATTATCATATGAACATATGTCTAATTTTAGTACACTTTTCAAGATATGACCAAATAACTATAAAATTTGTATGACAGCTATCACAAAGAGTCAAGAAATTTCAACAATTCAAGCATACTCTCATATCTTTATCTCAGACCATTTATCTTAGCGATACTAACGGTAAGCTAAATTTATAATATCCTTCAAACATACATTCGTACGAGTGTATAATTATGGTGCTAGTCGTAAATTCAATCGAATTGACGTCAGATTTGCAGTACTATAGCCTTTGTATTATAGTCAATTGTTGATTTTCAATTTTAAATAGTGACTAACGCACATGCATTATAGTAATCTAACTCTATTAAAAAAAGTCATAGATTTGTTTTATCCACATAAATAATGAAAAAATGTTATTGTCATGATAATTTATGATAAATCATTTTGCATAATAGCCCTTAATCATAGAGCATTTGTTGCCTATGATTCACTAAATGCAACAAGTATAGAACAAATTAATGGGGTTTTTAATAAAACATTATAACATAAGGTAAGCTTTATTTGAACTTATCAAGAATTTTTTTTCAAACTATTTTGCTTTTATAATCAGATTTTGGATTTTTTTATTTGTTGTTTTTTCCATACAATGAAAACCGGTTTGATACCGGCATTTTTTATAATTTGTTCATTTGTAAACAGAAAAAATTTTAGTATTAATAAAATAAATTTAATCTGTTAACCTCAAGATCAAGCTCATAATTTTCTTGTACTAAATAAAAGGTATAGCAAACATTATAATGCTTAAGTAAGATTGTTTTTCGGTTCGCATTTCTTTACATACATATAATATATTATATACCTACATACATGTAGGTATATATTTAAGATTTTATTTTTTTTCCAGTAATTTCCTTTCTTTATATTAGAAGTAAATATAAAATATTTTAGTATTCTGGCTTTTAAATTCAATGTGATCTCTTAAATTCATCTTAAAACTTAATTATTTTCTAAAAATTCTGATTAACTGAATCAAATAGATTACCTTTCTCACTGACCTGTTTTACATTTGTAGCCTGTTTCAAAAAAAGTTCGTAATTTAACTGCCTTAACTATTCTAATTAAATAAATTCATTTAAATTTTTTTAAACTTTTTAGTTAAACTACTTTAACGGTTTCGTGTGATGAGATAAAAAAAATAAAGCTTAACTTACAAATTATATTGCATAATGTAGTAAAGATAAACTTAAAAGCTTCTTTCAGATAAAATAGAAAATATTTTAAATATATCTAGATCATATTATTATATTATAAAAGCAATACTAGAAAAAAAATGTAAGTCAGGCTTTAGGAAGAATTATGAAACCTTACTTACCGAACGTTGGGTTTTAAAAATTTTAATATCATATATTGTTTTGGAATAATTTGTAAATAAGTTTTATAGGTTTAATCCAAAAGTCAAATTTAATTTTGTCAAGATTAGCTATTAAAATAAAAACAAACAAATTTTGAATTTGCATTTTGCCATATGAGCTGTTTTGATTTTATAGGACACTTTTTGACGTTATACTTTTGCAGTAATGCATTTCGCAGTTATTATTTTGCAGTAGATTTCAATTCTAATTGAATCGATTGATTAAATAAATACGCAAAAACGTTTATTTCATTGAAATCACGATAAAGAGCATAATGAACGTACAGTTGTTACGAAAAATCATAATACATAAAAATAAATAATTTACGGTATATAATATATTTTGCGGTTGAATTTATTAACGTTAAATACGAATAAACTTGAAATTGATTAAACTAATTGAAAAAGAAAGAAAATAATTTATTCAAGAAAAGAAATAGATAAAATTCAGATCAAATATTAGTCGTTGAAAATTACAAATTTTATTTTTAACAATGTTAAAAACGATACTTTTACATACGCATTTTAAAAATTAAAATTATAAAACTAGTTTGAATATAACAAAATTAATTATAAAAAATTTAGCCCATGGTGTAAAACCGAGCTGAATAAGGCGTAAATAGAGAAATGTTAGTCATAAAGGTTATGGAAATTTTGAAAGATTTATAGAAAGAAAATTACGTTATTGAAATATTGAATTGGGTATGTGTTTACTTTATATGATATATGAATGGTCCGTATGCAGTTAAGCACGGAACAACGGGCAACCATAAATTCTTCAGCACATTTGTAATGTTTTTCTTCATCGTCTTCAGCAAATATAAATTTTATTTACAATAATAGGTAACTACATATGTATTTAAAATTATTTATCGTAAAAGTGTCAGAAGCCTCATCTATTATAACATAAAATAACCAAGTAAATAAATAACTTTCACATTGATAAAAAGAGTACTGATTGTTTTACGATATCTGACAAAAAAGATAATAAAGTGTTTTTTTTTTGTGATTTCCTACCTTATATTACGCATTATCAATTCATTTTCGTATGAAATATTAAAAATGAAAGTGACAACAGTAAATTAGAATAACAATTTACTCAAAATTCCTGTCCATCCAAATTTATAAATTCACGATTAAATTAAAAAGCTTGTTTTCTTTTATTTTCAAATTTACCTACTTATGTACCTACATACCTACAAAGATATGTAAACGCGAAAAATTTTTATTATAATGTACAGGGTGTTCGAGACTCAGCAGTTCTCCCGCTCTAGGCTTGATCACATTTTACTTTTTGGCTTGCCACCCTCGACTTATGGGACCTCAAAGTTTTGAAAAATTTTGTTTTTATTTTTGAAAATACTTTGTTTTAGTTATTTTTTTAATGCTTTGACCCAAAGTTTTTCGCCTAATAGACATATTATTTCTGCGATTTTTTCAACATTATTCTATAGCAAAATGAAGGTCAGAATTCAATGCTTCATTTCCTGTAAAAAAACGTTAAGTTGTAATTATGTACATAAATAAATGACGATTAAAATAGATTTAAAAATTTTCACTTATCATTGAAATACCTCTGAAACTAATAAATCTGCGACACCACAGATGCGCGTTTTGAAGGTGATTTACATGGTCTACAAAATAAATATTATGTCTAGTTTGATTTTCCAGTCATATTTTCTGAGTTATCAATAAAAATATAAAAATTAAATGGTTTTCAGAAATTATAAATTTGAGGCCTCGAGAATTAGGGCCCAAAAACCAAAATGTAGCTAGTTTTTTTTTATTCGTCTGGATGCACTCTATCCCATTGCTTAGGGGTAGAGTCTAGATCACCCTGTATAATAAAACTTTGAATAAACGTGTTATGTTGAATATACATATGTATGTATATGAACACATCCACACAAATTTCTGTATTACGTTTGTACTACAATGTTTAGGTTGTAAAATATTTACGTAGAATGCGATAAGAACTTTAAATTCGAATCAAGCAGAGTTCATTTGTTTTTTTTCAGTTGATTCTAAACTTCTGTCCAGCTATACTGGGTGTTGTCACACTTGGTAACAGCCGCTATGTAGTATTTTAAAAAATATTTATTATCTGAATAAATAAAGAGAAAGGGAAATGTCTCATCAGAAACCAAAATTTACTATAGAACTAATAAAAGAGGAGGACCAAAAAGAAGTTTATGAAGTTCTTAAAGAATTTTTTCTAAAGGTAAAAAATATTTAAGTTCTATTTTGTAACAAAATAAATTCTAATCATATAATATTGAACGTGATTTTAACATACGCGAGCACATAAAATAGGGATATACATACATATTATTGTTTGTATGGATACATTTACATACATACATACATATATGAATTTTATTGTGTCGTGATTAGGTAGTTCACTATTATTTTTCACTGATATTTTTAATTTTTATACAGAAAATTGCGAAGTTCAAGTTCAAGTTATTTTTTTTACATAGTTGCAGTAATGTTATATACAGTTAATGCTAAATAATTTTTCTTTTAATTATAGGATGAACCTAATTGTAAAAAAATGGGAATTACTCATTGTGATGATGCAGAAAAATATTTAACAAAAAGTCTGGGAGATAATTGTTCTCGATGCATGGCAAAATAATAGGCGTTGTTTCAGTATGTGTTATATATTTTTATATGCATATGAGTAAATTCTATAAATAATGATATATATAGAACTGAAACTCAACTATTACTTTTATATCCGTGTATATACTAACATAATATATAGCCGCTAGATACACCAAAACAGTCTGCTGCTGCACTATCAAGTGATAATAGATGGCGTAAACTTGGTATGCTCATAGATAATATCAATGAACATTATGATATTTTTCAACAATAACATGATTCGGAAACATTTCTTGATGGGAAAGCAACAGCTGTTAACTATCGGAGCTTAGGAATAGCTGGAGAACTATTAAAAAAAACTATTGAATATATGAACGAAAATAATATTCAAGCAATGATGAGAACATGTTCCAGTGCATTTTCTGCCAGAGTTATGGAAAAACTCAATATGAAAGAAGTTTATAGAATTAATTACAAAGATTTTATTGTTAATAATGAACAAATTTTAAATCCAGATAGCCCACATGTTGCTTGTAGAGTTTTTGTATTTGATATAAAAAATGTTGATATAACAAAATAATTTTGAAATTTATTAACAAATTTATTGAATTTATTGTGATAGTTTATTTTAATTCATGTACAAATGTAAATATAGTTTAAGTTTTATGATAACGTGCATTTTTTACCCAGAAGTAATTTTTGAATATTTGAGTTTGAAAATCATTAATTTTTGGTCTATACAAACTTACACCAAAAAAGTAAAGTTTTATTTAGCAAGTTTGCATATATTTAAGCGTCATTTATTTATGTACATGTATAATATATATTTATATCATACACAAATATTATATATACGTATTAAGTATACAGAATATATAAAATAAATTTTGAAAAAAAGCAATAATTGTATTTCACAAAAAATTTTTTCCAAAAGAGTTTTAATAATAACCACAATAGAAAGAAACAATACAATAGTAAGATACGAGTATGTGTGCTACATATTTCTATCTTCTTTCTACGGAAATACTTATCAAGTTTTCTTACTTTTCAAGATCTATGCACATATGGAATTTCAGCTTCTTCTCTCCCTTCAGGGGTGTAGAAGTTTGGTAAACAGCTCCACGACCCAACGGACGGAGTGAAACTAATAAGCACTTTTTTCCAAATTCTTTTTTGGAAAAGTCCTAAAAGTGACACATTTCTCACTTAAGGGTTAATTGTAAGCAATATATGTATGTACATATGTAATAACAATAAGAAGCAGTGTGGAGAGCAATCTGCCGATAATTTTATACCTCTGAATCAATTTCGAAAAGAAAAATTTTTTATTTTTTCTACCTCGTTTTGTGACCACGTCATGCATCTGTTGTGCAGTTTTATGAAAGAATTTTCATTGATTAATAAGAAAAGAAATTTTTAAAAAATTAAATATAAATAACAAAACGTTATTGTTCATTTGCACATACAGGTACAATCACTTTATTCATAATATAACGTATATAATTAGTATATTTACTTTTAAAAAATTTAAAGCCGTTTTAATCTTTTAATTGACAATTTTGTAATTCTTACTTAGTATAATGATTTTCTTTTCCCTAAGCAATTATTAATAAGAAAAATTTTTTGTTTTGTTGAAAGTTGTGAGGAGGGTTTATGAATTTAAAAATATTAAGTAAATATAAGTGTTAATGTCTAGTAGCAATAATTATACACCTTTGCGTATACTACTTCAAAAATAAAATCCATAACTCTTGGTAGAAATCAACACTTATATATTTGAAAGAAATTGTAATATTTTGTAGCAACTTACACAATATATTGATAATAATTAAATGTATCACAAAAATTTACGATATCTGTCTAAAAAATATAACAAAACATGAATTTTTAATTTTATTTATGTAACATGTTCTATAAATAATCCACGATATCTTTTCTTTGGCTGTGTATTATTAAAAGCGAAAGTAGCAATAATAATTTAATGATGATATTCACTCAAAATTCTGGACTCTTTCGCAGTCCACTTTAATAAAAAATTCATGATTAAATTAAAAGCTATAAATATTTTTTTTTTGAATTAGTACTCTTGCTTGTAGCTTACTTATGACCTCGCACAAATGGATGTATATCTATTAAATTACATAGATATATATAAATATATAGGTATGAATGTGCAAATAGTTGTTAATTACTTATTCATATACATATATGTACTTACATAATTATAAAAGTACAATATGTACAATAAATAAATACACTTTGTAATATCTACATAATGTATGTATGTATGTAGATTTTTGTGATAAGAATTTAAAATAAGAATGAAAAGCTCATCAATTTTTTCAATTTGATTCAAAATTTTCCTATTTTGAGTTAGTTATACTAGAATATTAGATGGATTGAGAGTTTCTTTTTTTAAAGATTTATCTACATAAGTAGTTAAAGTAATTTAAGAAAAAGAAATGTCTGATCAAACCCCAAAATTTACTATAGAATTAATAAAAGAAGAGGACCAAAAAGAAGTTTACGAAGTTCTCAAAGAATTTTTCTTAAAGGTAATAAAATTTTTAAGTTTTATTTTGTAATTAAATAATATCTGAACATTTAAATAATAACACCGTGATGTATTATTGTTTGTATTCATATATGTATATGTATAAGTATAAACAGTTCAAGTTCGTTTTTTTTTTCTTTGCTTAAATATTTCTTTTTTTTTAAATATAGGATGAACCTAATTGTAAAAAAATGGGAATTACTCATTGTGACGATGCAGAAAAATATTTAACGAAAAATCTGGGAGATAATTGTTCTTTTAAAGCGGTCGATGAAAATGGGAAAATCATAGGCGTTGTTTCAAATGGAATCGGAAGGAAACCTGTAAGTTTTAGTTAAAATTTTTTGCAAAATCTAATTTAAATTTTTTCTTTATTTCATCAAAAAAAAAGAACTTATTTAACTCTTCTTCTTAATTTATTATACGAATACTTATGTAAAATGCTTTTTAGTCACCAGACTCTCCCAAAAAATCTGCTGTTGAATTAGCAACTGATGATAGGTGGCGAAAAATTTGTATGCTTATAGATAATATCAATGAACATTATGATATTTTTCAACAATATCCTGATTCGGAAACATTTCTTGATGGGAAAGCAATAGCTGTTAACCCGAACTATCGCGGCTTAGGAATAGCTGGAGAATTAATAAAAAGAACAATTCAATATATGAAAGAAAATAATATTCAAGCAATGATGAGAACATGTTCAAGTGCATTTTCTGCCAGAGTTATGGAAAAACTCAATATGAAAGAAGTTTATAGAATTAATTACAAAGATTTTATTGTTAATAATGAACAAATTTTAAATCCAGATAGTCCACATGTTGCTTGTAGAGTTTTTGTATTTGATATAAAAAATTTAAATTGATTATACAAAAACGTGGGCTAATATGTATATGTACATATGTATGTACGTACATTTAGAGGTACATTACACATATTCTTCAATATATACGGCTTTGTACATATGCTTATATGCAAATTATTATTATTGTCTTTTGAATTTTATTTTAGTAGTGCAATTTTGCAAGTAGCAAACAGCATCACACATTTGATTTTGCAGCTCCATTTTTAGAGATATACATATGTATGTACATATACGTACATATATGTATTTGCACAAACTTTTGAAGAAATTCAAACGCGTTTTCTAAGTGAACTATAAGAACAAGTTATTTTTAATCATTTTGCGTAATTAATAGGAAAAATATTTTTGGAAATTTTTTAAAAAATCATTTTAAAAATTTTAAACGCGTTTTCTAGTTAAAATAGAAGAGATAAGGCAATTCTAAGTGTCTTGCGTTATCCCTGGATACTCACAGATTCCGCCTATATCACTCTGTGAGCTCCGGATAATTCCTTTAAACTAGCTAAAACATTATGACAATAGTATACAAAAAATTTTATTGGACATATTTAAAAAGTCTTTTGAAAAATTTTAAAGTGTTTTCGGGGTGAACTAGAGGAGATAGCTTTTAACCATTTTTCTTAACCATTCACTTGGCCACAGGGGCTCGCAGAATCAGCCAATATACCATAATTAAGTGTAACAAAAAAGTTCTTGCATTTAATTAGAAAATCTTTCGTAAAAACTGAAACGCGATTACTGACTATAATAGAAGAGGCAGGTCGTTTTAAGTCGTTTTGTCCGATCACTAGGAAATCACAAATCCGACAATATACTCTGACTAAAAATTTCACCTAAATTTAAAAAACCAACTTTACTTATTTAATAAATAATGTATAGCCTACATTTGATAAATTGTTACTGATAGTATAAATTCAAAAAAATTTTCAAAAAAAAAATAAGAAGCTTGAAATCAATCAATTAGGTGGTTAAATTAGATAAAATTGCCTGCAAACGCAAAATAAAGAACTAATTTTGTACTTTTTCCACAAATGTTGTCGAAAAACATGTAAAAAATTTCATTTAAAAGTATCAAATTTATAATGTACTACTCCATGTAAGCTGGTAAATACATATTGTATAATGAGAGTAGAAAATATTAAATTGGATATATAGACGCTATTATATTTAATTATTCAAGTAGCGGTAATAAAATATATTTTTCTTTATTATTATAAATTTAGTCAAACAGAACTAGCCTCCAGTGCTAAACAATTTTTTTTATAAAAATGGTTTTTTTTACATTATCTAAATCACAGATATTTTTAATTCTCCTGTTATTTAAAAAGTTCCTGCCACATTTTATTTATCTTTCAAAATGCGCTGTATTACTCTTTCCAATTGTTTATCATTACCATATTTTACGGCATCAGCTCTAACAGATTCGTGTAAATTGCTTGCTTCTTTTGATAACTCATCCAATCGTTTCCTATCAAATGTAAATGAGTTTCTAAAAAAACGAAAATTTTCACACAACCACACATTAAATAAAGATCCACTGTACCTAACGAGATAAAATTCTAACGCTGTAAATACAGTGGCAAAAGCTAGCAGAATCCAAACAAATTTCAAATTTGATATTCTTTGCCATCCTTCTACTCCATAATAAGGACCTGGGTTCTCATTATAGTTGGGATATACTTTCCACGGTCTTTAAAAATAATTATAAATTTGTATTTAAAAGCTAGAATTTTGCATTTTTTAAAACTTACCCTTGAGCGTGTTGATAAGTGACATTTTGAAAACCCTTTGCAGCCAAATCTTGGTCATACTCCCTTCTGCTTGCTTTTTTGCTCAAAACTTGATAAGCTTCTTTAATAAGAACATATTTAGCAGTTGCTTTCGGGTCGTTTTGCACTGACTTTACATCAGGATGATGCTAAAAGTTAAAGAAATTAAAAATTATAGGTAGGAACAATTCGATCCTTTTTTGACCACAATTCTTTTTATTTTCGGTTCTTCACTGTTTTACTAATTAGAATATTAAAATTTTCATTTTAAGTGGTCATTCAAGTTTGTAAAGTACAAAATATCCAATTACTTCTTTAGACAATTTAATAAAAGCATTTCGTATTTCCTCAGTAGTGCAATTTCTTTTTAAATTTAGCACGTCATAATATGTTGCATCTGAACGTTGCGCATTTAAATGACGAAGCCTAAAAAATTTTTAAGAAATTACGTACTTTAAGATTTTAATAGAACTTATATATTTTGTTTTTCTATAAATTAATACCACACCAAAAAATTATTGGAAACTGTGTTCTATATTTATGTAAACACGGCCGAATAATATTCATCCCCAATTATTTGTTTTGATTGATTATAAAATTACATAAGGTCATAAATGACATATATTTTCTTAGGAACCTGTAGAACTGAAACGTCAATGTTTGTAAATAGAACCATAATATGTCTAATTAAAACTCAAATTTTTCTTTGTTATATATTTTTACAGATGCTATGACAGCAATTATTACTTGATTTTTACATGTTGACACAAGCAATAACTACATTTTCCCAAAAAAAATGACGAATATACAATAGCAAATTTTAACTGTCACAAAATTAAATGACATTATTTTTAAAATCAAAAGCTGTCAAAATATATGTATTTCAGAATGTTTTCGTTTTCAAATACTTTTTTTCATCAACAATAATTTTTTTTTTTAAAACTATCCAAAATAAAAATGTTCACGTTTTTGTATAACCAAAAATCATTTGTATATGTTTGATAAATATTTTGACATTAAACATTTATAAAACTCTTAAATATCTTTTGTCAATTGATTTTATTCGATAGTTTAGAACAGCGGTCAGCAAATTTTTATTTTTGTTCTTGACATTACAAAAAATAATAGTTTTTTCGGTGCTATCGCAACAACTGTGGCATAAAAATGCTTTAAAAATATGCTCTGATGTAGCACTTATTCTATTACGAAAGATTTATTTATTGTCACAAATGTTTAGTCCGGAAAATACTAAAGTGTGATAAAATGTGTATAAAAATCTTTATAATATTTTCAGGAAGTGCTAGCGCGAAAAGCAAGTACGTAGTGGTACTGCGATTCTTCGGAAACTGCCTTAATATTAAAATTAATCTTGGATTTTTTCATGTATGTAAACAGTACCATAAAAATATTACCAGTTAAGAAAATAATTCAAACTTGGATTACACATAAAAACCAGCGTTAATTTTAACGATAGCTAAGTCACAAAAAAGATTTTATATTTGAATCTTTTGATATATCATCATTTTATAAGGAAAAATATATGTATGTATATATAAAGTTACATACATACATGCATATATATGTATATAATTATCGACAAATTATATTTTAAATTACATATGATTGTATCTTTGCAAATCGAATAATAAGATCAGTATTGTTTGCATTATTAATAAATGAAATTGTTTCAAATGTATCTTTTTCAACAATTTTATAATTACATTCTAATGCACACCCCTAATTTTTGATTTATTAATTTTTGATATATTTTGAACTACTTGCGTTAAATGTATTGTAATGTCATTATTGACAATATATTTTGACAATACACATTTGCTGTAAAGTAGATATGATAGTTGGTAGCATTGGAGATAAAAATTATTATGTGAACAGAATAAAAGCGTTTAGCGGCAAAGGTGGACAATTTACGTTGTAAACCCAGGTTAAGAGCGGAACGGCAAAATCAATTAAACATTAAATACAAAAACTTTGTATATAATGTCAAAAAAAGCAGTCGCGGTAAAATAGGAAATCGAGTTTTTCAACTTCGGCGGTGAAATTCGCAGCTGAAATTTCGCTTGGTTCTATATGAATTCTGATATATCGCCGCGGGAGATCTTCTGTTTTCACCTTCATATGGATATGTAATGTATAAAACATTACGCGCGTAAACATATTAAATTTGCAATAACGGTTAAAAAGATAAAATTAAAAAGAAATAGATTAATAAAATTTAAAATAATTTTCAAGTATCCTACATAATAAATATATTGTTCAATGTTTTCCATATACATTTGCAAATAGCGAAATACTGAATTTTACTGTGCTTTGATATATTAGACAGGTTTATACGTAAAATCTATATTTATTCATGTGTATTTAAAATTGAAAGGTGTTTTTAAAAAAAAGAAGTTTTTCAACATCAGAACACGTAAGAATAACTTAAATTATATAATATATTTATGTGTGTCTATAAACTTATGTACCTACCTGAATCAAGAAATTCAACACTATAATAATATGCATCTTTCAATTACGTGCATTGTGCAATAAATAATAGATGTATGTAAATAATTCCGATTGAAGAGGCATTGTCTTACATAGGTGATTATTTTCCTACATGTTGAGTATAAAAGTAATACAAAGAGGTAAGCCTTTTAATGCTACAGGTCCTATTTAATTCTAAGAGGTCCTATTTAATGCAACAGCGATTCTTTCATTTCAGTTTAAATTCATTGTTTGATGTACACATAAATATAACCATGCATACTTCAAATTGTGTTTGTATCTTGATATAAATTGATCTTTCGGCCGTGACCTACATACATATTCATATAAAAGAGCTGAATCCTTTAACTATGGATTTGAGAAAAATGAAGTGTTTATATTTCAAGATATTGGGCCCGATATACATAGGTGCTATTATTAATTGACGACTAACCCTGAAGCAACTGATTTATCGAAGTAAATTTTATAATTTAAATTAATACATACATGCATGATATGTATTTAAATAACTAGTGTTTTCATTTTTTTAAATGAAATGCTCATAAAAATTTTATAAAATTACTGTGTCGTAAATAATTTATTATAACTTATGTTCTTATAATAATTACATACATACATTAAATAAAATAGACAAAAATATTTTTAAGACAAACTTAAATAATTAATTTAAATTAGAAAAAATAGAAGCGATTTTTATGCATATTCGTGGCGTTTTTCAAACTTTTTGAGCTAAAAAAATATCAAAAATTATGTTTTGATTTGTGATCAAATAATTAAGTTTTTGAATATGAAATAAATTTCATAATTTTAAGCTCACCTCTTCACTGTCTGCTGGAGGCATATATTCGTCCGAAATATCACGTTTGCTTTGTAAAATTTGAGTATATATTAATGCAGCAGCGATACCACCTAATATTGGACCAACCCAATAAATCCAATGATCATCCCAAACTCCTGTAATAACCGCTGTGCCTAACGTTCTTGCTGGATTCATACTTGACCCGGTATATCTAATTGTACCTAAATGTCCTAAAGTTACCGACATTCCAATTGCAAATGGAGCGGTGTAGTGATTATCTAAAATTATAAAATTTTATTCAAATATGTAATTTTATTTATGAACAAAAAATACAAATACAAAAGCTTCCACAAAACCGTTTTTCTGAAATACTTTCGTTTAAATTTTTATTTTAAACGTTAATTTTTGTAAAATTAAAAATAAGAATATTTAAGTAGACAAACTCAATACATAAAATGAATTTAGTTATGTTATATGTGGAGCTATGAAAGATATCAACCTACATCTGAACGAATACGTGCAATGTAACATCTATTGGAATGCGATTATAGATACCTACCTTTTTTATTTTCATCTGTTGCTCCAAATACTGTAAGCACTAGGACGAGTCCCAAGAAGAATTCAAAACCTAAACCTTGTAACGCTGTTTGATGTTCTGCTAGAGAAGTGTGTCCTAAACCATTATAGTATTTTTCATCCAACAGCGCCTTAAATTATAAAAGTTGATGTTTTAGTTCTACTTGTATAAACACTATAGGAATATGTAATATTTTTTTGAATTATTAAAGTTTGATGTAAAAATCTGATTGTAGTAAGGATTTACACATGTGTACCTTAATTGAAGCTGTTCCAGCAATAGCACCACAACATTGTGCAATTATATACAATAGCGCTTTGAAAACTGAAATTTTTCCAACAACTAACATTCCAAGTGTTACTGCTGGATTTACATGACCTCCGCTAACATGCCCGACAATCTGTAAGAAAAAAAAATACGTATAAGTGCATAATTCTATAAAAATTTAAGTAAATTTGAAAATTGTTGCAATTAGCTTTCCAGCAATTACTGACACGTTTCTACAAGTCTATATTTATATAAACTTATACGATTATATGTATGTAAAACTCGATTTTAAATTTAAATAAAAGAAAATGTAAAATTATTTGAAAACGAAAATTTCAAATAAAATTGTTGATTCACCTTGCCATATAAAGCTTTTGCTTTTTTGAAATTTTTTATATTTGTGATCATCATTGTTACTACAAGTATAAGTAATTTCAATCCAAAAAAAAAGAGTTCTAAATCTAAGGTGATCTTAATTATAAACATTTTCAATTCAAGATTTTTTCCATTTTTTGCTTTGCATCTTACAAATTAAATAAATATGCTTGAGCTTTGAATTGGAAAAATAAATAGCTATATGTAGGTATGTTAGTTAATTTTATTTAAAAATTTACCATTTTAAGTATGTACATAATTATTTAAAATTATTTAAAATGTACGAGTATATTATTAATTATGTATACGCATATGTATGCATGCGTATGTGTGCATTTGAATGATATAAATAGAAATTTTTCAAAAATTATTCATAAATAATCTATGTATGAGCAAACAAAAAAAAAAAAAATGTAATTTAATTGAATATCAATGATTTATGCAATGCTTTAAATATTTCTATTTTATGGTACTGTCTTAAGGTTAGACGTGCCACAATAATACATTATTTAATTCGGAAAGAAATTTGTAATGTCTAGAATAGTATGTATCTATTTAAAGACAATAAAGGACTTGTAAATTACTGAATGTCGTTGAAATGTAATATTATTTTTACTGGATTTTGAAACTAATATGTTATAAGCTATGTTGAGAAACTGAATACATTCATAAAACAAAAAATACACTTCACGAACTTTTATCCCCTAGAGGTTTTGGTTTGTTCTATTTCTATCACTGCAAAAGTAAAAATAACTTACCACAATTGCCATAAAAACTCCTAAACCAAATGCTAAAGCTTTAAAGGTTCCATCTTGTATTTGTGTACATGCGCCAACAGCAAAGAAATTTAATATAAAGTTACCTAATTATAAAAAAAAAAATAACAGAATGATTTATGTATCGGATTGAAATATTAATTAATTATTTGCTTACCCAAAAATTCAGCTATAACTGCTCTGTAAATTTTATCTTTTGTTGATTTAAATTCATTAATTCCCAGTTCATATTTAAATTTTCCAGCCATGATTAAATTTTCTTACAACTTTCTTACTGTTAAGTCTGCTGCAGAATTTTTATTTTTTCGTTACTGATATGTTAATATACCAATAATATTAAACTATTGTCTATTAGTTGTTGTTCGTCTAAAACAAAACAAAAAACTTAAATAAAATTGTTATTTTACTTAAAAGTATTTAATACTGTAGTGCATAGATGAATTTTTATTAACTACAAAATAATTGAACTTAATGAAAAATGTAAAAACAAAGCAAAACAAATTAACATATGTATAATTGGCCATTGAATAGACCTATGTATTTAAAATTCAATAGGCAATTTACCTTTTTTTTTTTAATTTTTGCTAAATAAGCGAATTGAAAGTGTGTTTGCTAGTTTAACAGACTTATTGTTAAACCATATTTATTCTGTTGTACATATTTCAAATAAATTTGAATAAAAAATAATAGCAAGTAGGTGTTAATAACTGCATATTTGCTATTAATATACTCATTATTAACATGTTATCATTTTTGTATTTGCAAAATGTTAATGATGTTGTAAAATTATGGTATAAGTACATATAATATGCATATTACGTATTTGATATGTAGTCAAATGAAATTTATTCCGGAAAATACACCGTTATCGTTTTTCCGTAAATAAAAAACTTAAATTTATACTTAGAATAAGAAAAAATACATAAATGTTTTCTCATCCGTTCGTATTTTTTCATAAAATATATGCATAATTTAGACAATTTTTAATTTCTAATTAAAATTAGAATTAAAAATTAAAATTCGATTAATTGTTGTATTCATTACAAAGATTAGATAGTATGCATATGCATTCGACTGTATGCATACGCTCAATGACGACTTGGTGATCACGAGGTAGTAAAACGGCATATTTGTATTTATTTGGTTGCGGTGAACCTTCCGAATCGGCCACGTCAACCAACCAAACATATTCAACACATTAACTTGTATTCATGTATGCATTTTTCTATTTTTATAGTTTAAAAGAAAGAGTTTTCATGATAAAAGGGATCCATTTAAATTTTTGGGAATTAGAAATATCACCGATTTGAAGTCAATCATCAATTCGGTATAAACTTCGATAAGTTTTCAATTGCTAACAAATATAATATTTTACATAATTATGTAAAATGAAGAAGTATATTTGAGAAAAATTTCAGAAAAATTTTAATTTTTATACTTTAATTAAATGTATAACTTTTGAGCTTAAGAATTTTTTTGGATTTTCCTAAATTTTTTCAGTGCACACAAATTCTAAATATTTTTTAAACTGATTGCAATAAATAATAATAATTATTGTATAATAACAATTACAACAATTTGAAAAAAACAAAAACAAGAGTTTTCCATGTGAAACATTTATTATCAAAATGTTAAACAACTGATTGTTAAATAGTCTAAGTACTTGAGTTACTAATTAGTTTTACAAATATTTATATGCATATAGATAATATTAATAAATTATGTCAATATTTACAATAATATTACAATCAAGAGTGTTCTAACATGTTTCTAAATTTTCAAGAATGTTCTAACATGTTGGTTACTATTTTGTCATTTATTTTGCCATTGCAGTATATGTATGTATGTATGCATGTACATATATAAATTAATCTTAATATGAATTTTCATTTTAATTATAACAGAATATAATATAAAACTTTTGTTAGCAAAAACATATTTTTTTGTGAATTTTCTCAAGGCATAACATTCTATTTATTGTTCGGAATAATGTTTTTTTGAGTAACACAACAATGAATTTATTGAAATAAAATATAAACTAATTTTAAATAATCAAATAATCTTAAAGAAAATAAGATAGTAAAATAATCGGAATTCGTAATAACTAGCTTTTAAATAAATAATTACCATCGCATGATACTTAGATTATATTGTGCTAAGCCAATTTTTTTTTAGTGAATTCTTACAAACTTTGCAATTTTCTTTTTCTTTTTATATCGCACGTAAACAATAGAATAAATTCTCATATCGAATCGTTCGAATTTGTTCTCGTTCTTAATTGATCAATCTATATTGAACTTTAAAGTAAGAATTTCTCATTATTCACGTAATTTCACAATTTGTTTATAGATATTTGGGCCCTGATCGTCTATCTCGATATTTTACTCGTAGAGTGAGAAGAAAGTGAGTAAATATCATTTACTTGTATAACGTAATTTTCGAGTGAGAAGAGTTATTTGGGATTGCGTTTTTCATTTTTCTCTTAAATGCATACAAAATTTATTCACTTTGTTTTTGAAAGTGATGCGTTGCCGTGTTCAGTCGATAATTTGAGAAAAAAAAAACAAAAATCCAATTAAAAAAATGAGTAATAGGAGAAAATGGTTGTTTCACTTATTGGAAAAATGAAACAACCATAAAAAAATACTGAGAATTCTGATTTGAAAGAAAATAAAAAGTAAGTAAAAAAGCAAGATATACGATCAGACTGTTAAAGTAACTATTTTCTATATTACTTTAGCGAAACGTAATAATTTCATTTGTGGAAAGTCCAGAACGTTAACCTTTGTTTTGATATACTTAATAAATAATGCAACTATTATCATAAAATTTCAAAGAACAATATTTTAACTATTGTTTTGGGATGAGTATTGTTAACGGATTACTATGCATTATTACTGATTTGTCATAATTTATAAAAATGTGAATTAGTCTTAATGAAAAGAAAATATGCGTCGCTTTACATTTTACATTCGAAACGTAACCATTTTTGTTAGTTTAAATTAATTAATTTGTTATAATTTTTATAACTTCTAATTTTATCTTGAATCTAATTGCATACTCGTAATAATCATTATTCTAGAAGTGTAATTGGAATAGTATAAAAATTTCAATTTTTATCACGTTAAATATCGATTAGAAAATTCTTTTACGTATTCCTGTATTATGAAAATGGCATTATATTAGATTTGTATTTAAATGCATAAGTAAGATTTTTAGCCTATATGTTAATTCATCAATTAATTTTTATTTTTTAATTTTTTATTTATTTATTTCATTAAAACTAAAATTATTTAGAGCTATGTTTAAAATTTTAAATGATATGCTAATTAATTAAGTTTTGTAAATAAAACTTATACATGCTATTGTGCTTTTTCAATTATGCTTATTATTTGTTTTTAATATCGAGTTCCCACTTTGAATTATTTGCGAATATTATGCAGTGTCGATGTTTTATTTTTTAAATACTTCTATATATTTTAAGTATTCCGGATTTTATTAAATAATTTTTTAAGGCTAAAACTCTTTTAAAACTCTGATTCGATTTACGGCTATGGTATTAGTTTAAAATTGAAAAACACAAACTATTGAATTACAAATGTAGTATAAGAACAAAAAATGTAATAATGTAAGATTGATAAATATTATTTATAAGAAGAGCAGTAGTTATAAGTGAAATAATGAGAGAAAGTAAAAATTCTACCAAATTTTCTTAAAATCATGTTGCTGTATATGTATGTTGTTGGCAGCCCAATTTACAATTTTTCAAATGAATAACAAAGTGTTAATTAAATCCTTCTACTGTTTGCGTATATATAGAACTTTATACATATTTCTTCTCAAATGTTTAACTTTAACTAAAATAAAAATTGAACACTCGCTTATCTTTGATAATTTAGTAATATAGTAAATAATTCAGCAAAATAATTTAGTAAATTCTTGATTTACTCGTTGGAATTTATGTACATATATGTATATTGTTTCAACAACGAAGCATTTAATGCTTCAGTACGTTTAAGAAATATGTAAGTAAAAATTCAATTCAAAATTAAATATTAAAAATTGTTTAGTTTTTTTTTAGGTGTTTATGTTCCAATTAAACTTGTCACATAAATTATAAAGACGTTTGGGCTTTTATTGTGTTCGTATACTGTACAACAAATAATTAACTTAAATGTAAATATAACAGTTTCGAACATTAGATGTCTATAATTCCATGTCAAACGTTAATAATGTTATTTCATGAATTTGAATCTTATAATATGCAAATCTACATTCATACATTTGTTATATCCATACGAACGTATATGTTTGAAATATATACTAAATTTGCCTTACCGTTTGTAATGCTAAGAGATAATATTCTGAGATATAGACTCTATACTCTGAGACAGAGCTTATACAGCTCTTGGTCAGCGGAGTCCGTATGTCCAAACGATATCTCAAAAACTAATTGAGCTAAGCTCACCAAATTTTTACAAATGATTTATAATAGTAAATATTAGAACTCTTTTAAATTGGATATGATCGAGGTACTGGTTCGGGTGGCTGTCACAAAACTTCAAAATTTATTTGAATAATCTCAGAAATTATAGAAACAAAGATATTGAAATTTCACATTAGCCAATATATTATTAGGGCTAACGTGTTTATAATAAACGTCGTTCAAAGTGCCTGTCTCTTTCTGGTAACTGCCATACAACTTGAAAAGTTATTTAGTTATAATTACATGCTGTTCAACAGTTATAGTAAAATGACATCTATATTTTTTAAAAGTTGTTGAGATCTCATACAATTACAAAAGTTATTTGGTCAGATCACAGAAATTACTTAGCGCGTAGTGCATAAAAATTTCCATAAGAAAGTATATTTTCAAGGCAGTTATGTTTAATAAAAGTAATTGAAATTTCTCATAGTTCAGAAACATAAGGCTACAAAACTGAAATGTCGAAGAATGAAATTTGGTGATATGATCATCATTTTCAGTAAAATTCTTTTAGTTTGTATGGATTTGTATGGTAACTACAATATATGTATAAAATATCACTATATGCATAAAAGGTAAGAGGTTCTAGGAACTGTGTGTTAATTATCTCCTACATTTAAAATCATTTTCTCGTACGGGTATCACAGAGTTGATACGGTCAACTATTTCTATTCTTGTTATTTTTCTATAATTGAAATTTCTAATTTCATATTAAACAATTTTTAATAAATTTTATTGAACTCAGTTTGTTTACTGTTCAGTTATAAACATACATACTTAGTTAGTCTGTGACTATTGAATGACATACCGCAGACAAAATATACAACATTATTTACATATAGGGTTAGTGTTATAGTACTTCAATTATTGCTTTTTGAGA